CACCTCCGGCGCCCACGCACCCGTCAAAGCAGCGATCCGCTCGCCAGCCTGGTCCCCAGACGGCCGCTTCGTCATCTACGAGAAAGTAGGCTTCACCGCCCGCGCCATGGAGAAGCCCCTCTACAGCTGGGACGCGGACTGGGAATACCGCTCCACCGACGTCTTCCCCCAGCTCTCCCTCCAGGGCCGCCTCGTCATCACCCAGAAGCAGCTCGGCAACTCCTCCATCGTCTCTATGAACCCGGACGGCACCGACCTCAAGCTCGTCTTCGACTCCTCCAAGACGGGCGAGATCGACGCCGCCCTCGTCGCAAAGGGCCTCGCCGGCGCCTTCCAACCAGCCTGGTCCAGCGACGGCCAGTGGATCGCTTTCGGGCTAGGCTCCTGGTTCCAGTCCCGCGCGACGGGCAAAGCCCGCGTCTACCGCACAACCTCCAACGGCAGCTACTACGAGGCCTTGACAGACGGCACCGTCCACTCCGGGTTCCCCTCCTACAGCCCGGACGGTCGCAGCCTCGTCTTCCGCGAGTGGGGTGTTCGCTACGGCCTCCGCGTCATCGACCTCGAGACCAAGACGGTGCGGAGCCTGACCAACGCGACGGACAACCTGCCCTTCTGGTCGCCCGACGGCGAGCGCATCGTCTTCACGCGCAAGACGTCGGCAACGAACTTCGACGTCTGCACTATCCGGCCTGACGGGACGGACCTGCAGACGCTCACGTCCAGCGGCGCAAACGACGCGCACGCCGTGTGGTCGCACGACGGGCGGATCCTGTACTCCAGCGGCATGTACGGGTTCCGGGACGAGGCGGCCATCTATGACCAGACGTTCCAGCCGTACGGGCAGATCATCGTCATGGACGCGGACGGGTCGAACAAGCGGATGCTGACGGATAGTTTGTGGGAGGATTCTATGCCGTTGTATGTGCCCAACGAGTTTCTCGTCTAGAAGTGCCTTCTTCGGTGGCTTGAAGGTATGGTCACTGTAAAAGTAATTGCAATACATACACAAAAATCTTTTGTGCGAGTACTTCTCTGTGGATGTTTTGGTTTCCCACGAGTGACCAAGTTGAAAAGAGGACGAAAGCCCACAAAAGGGGCTCATCAAGTGAAAAGAGGCAGAGAACTTTGGCTTTGACTCTGGTAAACCAACACTTTGGTTATCTAGGCCATTCATTCAGCTTGTCAGATTACGAACTCATAATGCCCGTGAGAACTCACATGTTCTGCTTGGTATAGCAGATATAGTTTTGCCAACAATATATGCAGAGCAAGCCGTGAGATATTTTTCATGAGGCGGCGGAACCCCTGAATGTCTCAAGACCATAATGCATATAGGAAAGCCTCTCGACAACATGTAGCCACAATCAACCCAAGAAGCAGACCATGCTCACTAGCAACATCAAGGCTGTCTTCTGACCAGACCTTGAACCAGTAATTCAGGGTGATGATCACCTTGGGAGCAGTGTCTCGACTGGTACAAACGATCCATCTCGACATGGGTACTGTTTCACTGTGAGGAGACGTCAGCGTACATAAATCACAAAAACACACCGAGTAATCACGCGACAGTCAACACCGCTAGGATGGGACGAAACAATCAAGAGTTCCATTCTTTGAGAGCTAGACCTAGCCGCCCAATCCCGGAAAACCCAGATCCCGCCGTTCACCAAAAAAAAACCAAAAAAAACCAGAGGGAGGTAATTTCTCTTATTCCTTTTTTTCTTTGATTTTGGTTTCAATTCCTCTGCTCTTTCTCATGTCCTAGAGACATAGTGCTCTGAAGCCGATCGTATAGGTAGGCGATATCAGCGAGCCAAGCATCACCAAGGTTCCTCGTTTCTAACTGCGCGTCCTGTCCTCCGCGAGAGTTGCCAAACAGCCAAGCTCATGCTGACTCTTCCAGTTCGCAAACACAAAATCAATGTGTCGTATGGATTCAGTGTTCATGTGACACGAATATCCATAATCTTTTCGTCGTCTTCGTCAACCCCAAAACTAATTAAACAGGTGTTGGTGTGAAGCGCGCAAAAAGGGGCGCGGAGTGTGATGGCTGACGAGGTGAAGCTCGCCCAGCGCCAGATGATGTAATTCCCCACGGCGTGTTGAAGTGGGGAGATGCAGATGTGTGAACAAAAAGCAAAAGGGGGTATGTGCAAAATGTGGTATACGCATGAATGGGAAAGAATCGAAGTGTGTCTGTGGGGAGGTGGTGTTGTCAGGCCAGCCCATTCCAACCTGTCGTCGACGCCACCGCGTTGCCTTGGTCTCAACCAGACCGATGCTTGGGGAAAGCCGAACAAAGATTGTGGTAAGGGCTCAGATTCTCCGAACCAGGTTCCAAGACGAGACCAAACAGGCAGAGGCGGGGAGATGAGACGACAGTCCCCAAGATAGCCAGCCGGCCCAAGTAGTAGCGAGTCGAAACGTGTTGATGACCAAATATGTCGGGGTATCCTCCAGTAGAGCCTTGATCGTAATGCAAAGTGGTGCCCAAGGCCACAATGATTGCCCTTCGCGCGAGGGCGTTATTTACCGTTCCAATGCCAGGAACGCCGAACCCATGTAGTGTAGAACCGCCGTGCCATGACAAATGCCAGAGAATGGTGATGCATGACCCAGAGCGCGCCGGCTCGGTCAGTGAAGTCATGACACGGTATCCTTGGTTCAGCCAACCAGTCCGAATCCAATGAAAATAGGAGACATGCTTTCTCATCGGTCAAACAGACCGATCGCACAGCGCAGACCTTCCATCCCCCAACGCCGTGCTATGCAAAAAAAGGTGTTATACAGAACCCAGGCGCAACAGAGCCTCGACCGCCTCACGCTCCTGCGCGTCAGACGGGCCCTGGAGCGCTGTGAAGTCGAAGGGCATGGGCTGGAGCGAGCGTGCCATGCCAGTAGAGACAGTTCGCATTCCTCCCGAGTTATATACACCGGTGGAGAGGAAGCTGCGTCCAGCAGACTGTGCGGTTGCGCCGGCTGTGTTGTAAGACTCGGCGCGCAGAGCGGCAGCTCCAACGGCAGCCCAATCCTCGTCATCGGTGGCGTCCTCGGGATCATCATTCATAGCGATGTCATCGTCATCCGGGGCCTCGGAGCACGAGGCGGAGGCCGAGCCATCCAGGGACATCTTATCCGCTTCGCATTCCATCATCATGGCGTCGCGGTCGTCGTGAGAGAAGACGATGGAATCTCCAGCGCTGGACGAGGCGACGTTCAGGCGAGACCTATCGGCGCCGCGTCCACTGGTCTTGTTGATGGGAATGCCAGATCGGTAGTCAGTAGGGGGTGTAGACCCGCGCGCGGCCTGACCACGTCGTCGGGCATCCCATCGACCCCAGCCCACCTTCTCAAATTCCACATCGCCATCCGGTCCGCCGCCCTCGCCTCCGCGACCCTCCAAGGCTCCAACGACCAGGCGACGCGCCTTTGTCGGCGGGATTCCTGCGAAGCCCGGAACAGACGTTGTCAGGTAGCCCATGATGTGACGGATAGCCAGAGGGCCGTGGTTGAGGAGGATCTCGGGGAGGTGGTGCTTGGCCAGCAGGGTGGTGCTGATAGCACCGGTGGCATCGTAGGAGGGTGACCGCGATGCTTGCCTGCGACCAGTCGGGTCGTCGTGCAGGTCGAGGTCTGAGTCGATGGGCTCGAGCCTGGCCTTCTGAAGCTGGGCCTTGAGGCCGTGAGGCGGGAGGGCGGGAGAGATGGAGTTGGGAGGAGTAGGGAGGGGGTGAGATCGTGTCACAGTCGTCGCAGGAACACTCCGAGCCGCTACAACAGTCAAGTTGTCTCGGCTCATGTTGGAGGCCTGGTGGATATCGCAAGCAGCAGCTGCCATGGTCGCCATGATGTCGTTAGACGTGTCTGGTGCTTCTAGACGTGTCTGTACGCGATATCGATGGTTAGCTACAGGTGCTGAGTAGAGGAGTAATGATGAGACTGGTAGAGTATGTGGGAGGAATCCCACGATGAGAAGTGGTGGTGTTGAGTCACCAAGGTGGGAGAGGGAGGAGGAGGATGTGACGCAGTTCAGTGCGGTGCTGTGCGGTAGGATAGGGTTTACTATTGACGTACTGCTAGAAGCGGAAGAGATGCGATGCAAGTGTGGAACTGTGCAGGTAGGCTCAGTTCGACGGGTCGACTAGTAGACTTGTTGGCAGATCAGGCTGGCGTTGCTGTGGCTGTTGCGATTATCGTGACTGTGACAAGAGAATCTCGTCAGTATTGGGTTGTGGTTCTTCGTGATGTTGTATTTGCGTTGAAGAAGAGAAGAGAGGAAAAGGAAAGGGAGGGTGAGATGAGTGCGACGGCCAGGGCTAAAGTAAAAGGGACCGTGGTGGTGGACGGATACGGAGATGGGATGGGATGGATGGGAGTGACAGACAGACTCATACCTGACTGTTGAATGACTGAGAGCGACACACACACACACACCAGACATACGCGGTACCTCCATCATTTGGTGTCGGCTCTCTCTTACCTTGTTCCTCTTTGCTGGGCTGAGGAAGTTTGTGTGTGTGTGTGTGTGTGTGTGTGTTGTGTGTAGGAGAAAGGGAGGTACATGGGGTACATTGCAAGACCTGGGGCATGTCAAGAGACGGCGACCGGGGGTCAGGAGGTACCCACGGTACCGGACGGATGCAACCCAGGATCCAAGGTATCCGCAGTCAACTGCGGTACATCCATGTACCTCGCTCTCTCTCCTACTTCCTCGGTATCTACTCCGTACCTCTCATGCTGGTGACTCCTCCATGCTTTCTGTGGCGGGCCAGTCTTCTTTGGTACAAGGCAAAGAGCCCCAGAGAGCCAGTACAAAGGGAGAGGAGAAGGAGAATGACTGACGGATAGACAGAGAGCATGTTGATGCAGTACAGCTTGGCTTTGGCAAGCCCGGGTGCTTTCTCCAGCAACATGCAGCCAAACCTGACGCCCGTACCAAACTCAACCGCCTGCAGAAGACAAAGGCCCGTGGCGGCGAAAGGAAGGGAAGGCGATGGATGGATGGCCGGATCATGGATGGATGGCCGGATCATGGATGGATGAGCACCTGGCACCCTCCAGTCTCAAGCACCAAAGAGCAAGACCAAGGCAAAAAGGTAAGACAAGGCCCGACAACGCAACAACAACTACAGCGACAACAGGAAAGGAGCAAGGAGACGGACGCCGCTGGCGTTGGCGCAGGTGATGGACGGATGGACCATTAGGCAATGAGCAAGAACAACACCACTTGGATACACACCCTGGGGGTGGCAAGCTGCGGCCACGGGTGTCAAGTCTTGGTCACCAGGTGTCAACTGACGGTATCTGAGTGTGGATGGTGTGTGTGTCTGAAGGACGAGGTATGTGTGGTTGGGTCGCTGATACCAAAATAAGGAATCCCCGGCTGCGAGAGGAGATGGGAAACCGGCAAGAAGAGAGAAAGAGGGGTGTAGCTATCCTCCTACTTTCTCTCACACTCCCACCTTCACTTGTTGCAGTCCGCAGAGGCATCTTGTACACAGTGTGTCGCACACTTCGTGCACCTCGTACCTTATGCCTCCAAACCTGTGCTTCCGTATCTTCCCTTCCCATTTGATTCCAGTTCCCCTGGGTCCGAGGAGGAGTCATCGCCCTTGCTGATGATGGGCCAGGCAGATGAGGAGTGGAAGAGACTACCTGCCACCTTCTTACAGTCTAGAGACACTTGCCTCGTCCGCCTTGGCCTTATCATCGAGAGATCCTTATCAACCTTTGATCTGATACTCTTTCATGATCCTACCTGCCACCTGGACGATCTGACCTTAACGTCCAGCGCTGGGTAAGGGGAGAGAACTCTCAACTTCCCCAGTGGTCCTACCTAGACTCTATGACCTTTTGATCCAACTGATTGCTTTTCCTTTGATCAAAGTACCTTTGCAGATACGATACCCAATTTCAACGACGGATACTCATACAGCTTCAACGCACACCGCACACAAACCGCAAACTGGAACCCATCAAAAAGGATAATACCCACTCATCGACAGCTCTAAACTCCATCCTAGACCTCCAAACAATCCACATGAACGGAGCTTGGGCGGGCTCCATCTCGTTGTCCCGTTCCTGTCCCCGAGCTTGACCGCCGAACCAGCCATCGATGCGAATACCTCGAGATACAGATGTTCACGCCTTCAAGGTCCAAGGTCCCATGCGATCCATATCCATGAATGATTTGAAGCGTCTGCGACACAGCAGTTCCGCGACGGACCCAGAAGACACGTCCCCCCATGCGTTGGCGCCGCTCACTTTGGTCTTCTTTCTTCTCAAGTTCCCATACCCATGCCCCATGCCGAACCCGAAGCTACTGAAACGAAGTTCCCACCTCGTTGTCTTCCCCGGACTGCCGATAGGGTCGGCCGGTAAGTGTGATGATCCAAGGCCTGGGAGAAAAGGCCCCAGAAGCCCCAGGGCCAAGGGTAGGGGAAGGGGGACAGCAACCCGTGGCCTTCCGGAATTGCAGTCAAGCCCACGCACTTGATCCCCGGCCTAGCCCATAACGCGCTTCTCCATTCGGAGTCCATTCCAATAACCAACTGTTCGACCTTCAGCGTCCAGACCACTCTCCACCTTAGACAGGTCCATAATAAGCTTGATACAAGGATCGAGAAACGACGGTGAAAACGAAGAGAGTACGGACACCCGATCATCGTGTCAAACGCCGCACTATCGAGAGGTTATGCCAGGAGCCAAGAGTCAAGCAGATGATAGATTGCCAGTCACAAGTTACAACAAACCCGCAGCGCAAGGCGAGCAGCAAAGTCACCGATTCCCTGCCAGCCTCAGGGCATCAATGTCGACGAAACAGACACACAACAACACACACAGGTCATTAAGCTCTCGAAGTTGCCTTCTCCCGCCCCTTCCACTCACCCCATGAGCCAAGCCAAGGTCCAAGGGCTGCTTCTAGATGCGCATCAAACCCGCGTCGCCGGCGCCCGCGTCAACCGCAACATCACCATCAAGCCCACCGCGCATAGTGTATCCCAACCGGTGATCCCGTCCTATGGCACACTGGGCACGGTAAAATGGAAACCTTCGTCTCGGGTACAGCGTGCAGCCCAAGAGCTTACCAATCTGTCGGGGATCTCTCTCACTCTCTTACTTGTCTGTCACTTCTGTCACGGTACCTTATTTTTGGGGTACGTTGTCGAAAGACTCAGCCATGAAACTTTGCTTCCAAGTTGTCCCTGTTTCCATTTCCGTTTATCCCGTCTCATTCCTATCCATGGCATCCAAGCCCCCTTGGAGATCCACCCCCGATAACACGAACTCCGACTCATGGCATTTTGACTCTTTGCTCTTTCCTCTTCCCCCCCTTCATTCACACACAATCAGGAGGTTGTGGTGATAGGGTTCGAGAACCCCAATCGCGATCTCTGCTCCCTCCCACACCGCACACACAGTTTGACATATATCCATATCTCATTATCGTCAAGCTTTGTCAACCTCTGATTCAATACCCGTTCCGTACCCGCTAATAAACCCACCCGCTTCCTTTGTCCGGATCCCGTGCCAATGCCATTGCCCCCTGTCAAACCCCCCATGTATCCGTACCCATGTCCCATCCATGTCTGAAGTCTTTCCCGCCAGCAAGCCGCTGGGAGACGCGACCACGGGGCCGGTGTCCACTGAAGCAACTACAGCTTTGCAGGCAAGCACCAAAGCAATGCAATGGTTGGCTCGCTGGAGAGCTGTGGGAGTGTGCTTCTTCCTGCTGCTGCTATCCCAGACGGAAACAGCAGAAACGGACGGACGGGGTTTGAAATGGATACCTCGGCGGCCGTCAAGTTTGCTTTGCTGCTACTGATGCTGCGGGAGACTGGAGAATGCGACAGTGTCGTCATCAATCGCAAACCCGCAGCTTCGCTCTCTCAGTCCATTTCTTTCCTAGTGCGATGTACTCTCAGCCCAGCAACCAGCAACGTGCGACCATACCAACACAGACCGGGGGCCTTGTCAAAACAACCAGGGGCCAGAGTGCTAGAGAGGGCCCTTCATCACCGCACAGAACACAGAAACACACACACACATTTTCATGTTGTATTTTTTGTCGCCATCATCCCCCTATTTTTGGACGTTGCAATTTTGATTTTGGCGTAGGAGATTCCCAAAGCTTTCTGGCGCTTTGGTCAATCGCAGCGATCGAGATGCTTCGAAAAAGAAAGCCAGAGAAAACTCTTCCCTTTGGCGAGATTGACATTCCTCTTTACCCTGGAGCGCCTCTTATTCCCTTGACCTTAATACCCCCTTTTTCCGGACCTCGCCGTGGAGATGGCGGAATGGAAGTCTTGATGGAATCTGAATAGAACCCATCCCATGTCTCCATGCCTTCATGGTCAGAGAAAGTGCAAGGGGGCGTGTAAGTCAAACCGAGCCTTTGGCAACGCGCAATTTCGTGCAGATTTCCAGCAGCAGCAGCCTGAGCAATGACAAGTTCGAAATGTCTGGTTCCTGTTTTTCTTCATGCTCTCCCCCTAATTATTTCTGGGTGGTTACGAATGATAATGAGCATCCGTATGCCGGCGGGACGATCCAGACCGGATATGTCTGAGACACGCGCTCACTCAACTTCCAAGAAAGGAACAAGACGAGGACTCAACCGTCATCGTCCATTTTTCTGGCCTCCTTTCCTTGGATGAGATCGAGACAAGGAAGCTAGTCTCAAGCAAGCCATCTCACAACTAAGAAGACGTATCGTATATCACGGGCTACTCTCTTACAGAGAGGCCTTAGTCCGACGTCGCCGACGCGACGACGTGTCCTCTTACACCAGGTCTAAAACCGTCGCGTTAGAGATGATCGACACTCCAGACCTGACTAAACCTGCGTCCCAAAGTCACAACCACGAGCTTTCAGCTGGAAAATCCCCGGTTCAACGCACTGCCCCTACCCCTTCGCTCATATTTCTTCTCGTTGCGATTCCTTTTCTTCGAATATCGTACCGAACATCTATTTTACTTTTGACCTCGCACACTGCGCCATTCCGAAGAAATGGGTGCCAAGACTACAACCATCAACTAGCGACCACGCACAGAGTCCACCAGCAATGGCTTCGTGACGGGTAAAGCAACTGGAAACTGGACCGTCTTGGACCAGTGGGGGGTGTCTCTATCAATCAGCTGCTCTTGGGTGTGAGTAGCTGCTTTGTACCCCACGGTGCAGCTGAAATCCATCCCATCCCGCGTCTCTCTCTTTCGCCCTGCTCGCCCTGCCCTGTGGCTCTGACTAACTCCACATCAAAGATACACAAAACCCAACTTCTGCAATTTTGGACACTGTGGTGGTCGCAGGTGCAGCTGCCTTATCTGTAATCCGCTATCATCTTCCAGATTGGTGACCATCAACCGCCAGAATGGAACATCGCGATGCGTGGGCTTATCTCTCAAGGCGTGCCTCAACTTCTGATCTGTTAGGTATTGACCATGAACCCCATAGACCCGGCCGAACCGCGTCCGCGTCGGCTGAGGCGCCTATCCTATTCGTATAAGGATACCTTATTCGGCATCTCTGAGAAGGTAAGCCGTATCCGTGTAATGGCACATCGCAGTGAATTCCCCCTCATCCCATCTTCGCCTTCCCCCCTCCCCGGATTTTCCTTGGCCCCAATGACCTCAAGAAAAAGCCACCCGTGGTTCTAGGCTTCTACTTGTACCTAAGGTAACAGCTGCATTTTTTTCCGCTTTCTCGTACCGGCGTGGGTAGGTCCTGCGTACGCCTTGCCCTCTTTCGCGATGGGCGGCATGCTGACGACCTTCTTCAGCAATCGCCGCACCCTCCGTAGTCTGTACTCGATCGAATCCGTCCATGTGCTTTTTGCTTTGCTTTGCTTTGCTTTCCGCCTTGACTTCTTGCAGCTGGCCCAGAATCAAATCAAATCAATCGCATCTCACCTGGTCTGATTTTCAACTTTCACGCCCCCTAATGGCCGCTCTATACCCAGGAGCAGCGTCCAACCAACCAAATTCACCAGGTAATACAGAATATAACATACCTAATAGAGGATTCCATATCATGTCTATAAACAATTCCAACCCCCTCTTTTTCCTCCTTCATCCACCCTCATGCAAAGGTGATGTGCTGATATGCCATGCGGCATGCATCCGGGCAAACATTCCCGCACCGCCGTAATCATTTCGTTGGCGCGGATTCGACGTTTCGGAAAAGGCCTTACTCAACCTGCAGTCGGACGTACCGCATACGGAGGTGTCAAGACCACAAAATGTAGTGACATCCAAATAGAGAGTAGGTATCGTGGGGTTCAACAGAAATCTCGTAGTGTTGACTCTGTACCTGGCTACGCTACCTTTACTCCCCCTCGGAGGAATACGTGAAATGGTTATGTGGCTGGCTGCATCAAGCTTTCAGCTACAAGCCTGGAATGGAATAAGACCATGTTCATCTTTTGACGCAAAAAAGGTTCAGGTTCTCTTTCTCTCTCTCCTCTCCCTCCGGAATTCGCGCAACTTGCCTGCCCAACCAACTCTCTCGTGCGCAACCATCACGTTGCGCCCAGGCCATGATCTGATTGGTCATGGTGCTCATTTGTGATCTGCGTGCAAAGAATCACTCACGCCCCTCCGGATGAACCCTCTCTACATAGTAGGGCAACGCTTTCTATGTAAGTACGTTTCTGAGCGACCCAGAATGCAAGGAACATTTCAACAAGAAATACCCGTTTCTAGATTTGTATACTTTACGGTACATCTCGTCTCGTCGATGTGGGCACTTTGATGCTTCTCAACCCGCAACTATACAACTCTACCTTACACAGTATTCACATTGAGGTAGTTACGTCAATGTTCGTCGCCGAATCAGGCTCCTCCATCGTGAGCCCGTGGTCTGTCACTGTCATCCACTTACGAAACCCCACGTTGTGACATGCTGCATCGCCGAGGCTTCGGGCTCTAAGAAAGCCCTCTTAGCCTTCCCAGGGCGGGCTCTCGTTTCCCACAAGACCAGACACCCCCTCCCTACTCTCCCGATGGCCGATGTGCCCATCTTTTGTTCCTAATCCTCCCTCGGGAAGTCCTGTGGGGTTATTCAATCCCGCGTCGCCGCAATGTGCCTCCTCTGTTTACGCAACCTCTCGGCTTCCAATGATCCCAGGGAAATCCTCCGCCTTTGGGCCGATTTCTGCCCGGGTTGCCCCCTCCTTCGCGCGGGCGGCACACCCACCACTGCACCTTGCAGTAGCCGCCTCACCCCGCTTCTCGTCCAAGATATCACGGCGGGGTTCATCACACCCCTCTGCGCTCATGATTACTGCGCCTTTCCCGACCTCTTCCGTGTTGCCTTGCTTTTAGTCCCGAACGGCCGGTCGACCAAAGGCGCCGATGTGCGTGCTGACCTGACCTTAGCCGCCATGAGACGGTGGGATTTGTAGATATGTCGCGCAGCTTGTTCGGAGCTAGCCAACGTGGAATAGCCAACGGCGCCGATTCTCGGAACGAGGTGGTCTCTCCAAACGCACCAGTCGTCACACCCACGTTTGAATTCCTGTGGGCCACCATCGATAAGGAAACCTCGCCCCGTGGTCCTTGTTTGTGTATGGAGCCATGCCACCGCGACGACGATGTTTGGGATTATCCCACTTCTTTTTTGATACTTTCGCGTCTCGCATACTACGAAAGGGCTGAGCCCTTATTTACCATCACGAACATCGAATTGCCGGGCTCACTCGCGAATCGACATGTATTCGCGACACGCCTAGTAAAGTCAGCGCGTGTAAGCGTGTTAGTGATGGAACTCCGACTTACTGCCTTGAGAACGTTGAGCCGTTCTTGCGAGTCCCGGAATACTTGTCGGTACTGGCCTAGACTTTCCCGCAGGACTGCCTCCTTGGTCATGCGCCCGTCGCAGATTGCCTTCATCTTGTTCTCCATCTCTTTCCGCAAGAATGGCTTGCCCAGACTAGTTTCGAATTCCATGCGATCGAATCCCGTGATGAGTGCCACACCGAGCTGGGTCGGGATGAAGACCTTGAGCCCTCTCCGTCCCGCCGACGACGCGCCGCGACCCCCTCTGCCACCGCGACCACCGCGATTGCCGCGGCCTCCTCGGCCGCCTCTAGCTGGCGGCGAAGGAGGTCTATCCCGGTCGTCATCATCGTTGTCACCATCCTGGCCACGTTGACCCCCGTCAGCTAGCTGGACGTATTCTCTGTCTTGGATCTTTTGAATGTGCTCCGCCATCGTAGCATCTGTTCCGATTCCATTGGCATCCATGAGCGCAATGAGGTCTGCTTCTGTGAGGTAGTTTGGCGGGCTTGTCTTGCCATCCGTCATCAAGGCTTCTGTTGGCTGGAATGTTTCGTCTGGCGTGAATTTCGGTAATTCTGCAGAGTCATTCCACTTCTCGTAGACAAAGACGTCAAGGTAGTTGCGCTCTAGGACGACTAATCCACGGGTATGGAAGGTCTCTTCACCATAGAGTATCTCCACGTCGGTTGCCAGGCCTTTGGCATCTTCGGAGCAACAAGCAAGGAACCGCCGTACGACATATTCGTAAAGCTGCTTCTCATCAGCACTCAGTACCGTAGGCGCCGCGTACGTGACTGGATGAATGGGTGGATGGGCCTTATCATCATGTTTTCCCTCCCGTGGCTGACTGAAGCTCCCATCCAAAAGACTCTGCGCGTATTGGCCCCATCGAGAATCAGGCGTCTGCTTCCTGCATAGTGCCTTGAGGTCCATGCCTTTGTCGAAACGATCTGTTTCAGTTCTAGGATAGCTGATAAACCCTTTGTTGTAGAGACCCTCGGCGACTGTCATGGCCTGTTGACCACTCATCCGGAGAAGGCGAGTTGCTGCCTTTTGCAGCTCGACAGTGGTCAACGGCAGAGGCTTCCATTTCCTCGTTGGCTTCTCCTGAACCTTTGTAACCCTGGCTTTTTTCGCGTTGAGGCATCGTTCGTAGAGAATGACAACAGACATCCGATCAAAGAGACGGTTTCGCGACCAGCTGAAGTTGACTTTCTTGCCCTCACGAGAATGCATGACTTTGATGCTCCAGAACGGCTCGGGGACAAAGTTTTGGACCCGGAAGTACCGATCTACGACGAATCCTAGAGTTGGAAATTGGCAGGAGCCTAAGGTTTGGTTAGAAGACGAATAGCAGAATACGTGCAAGCTTACCATAACTGATTGTTCGTTCCTGCAGCGCACCTCCCAGGGGGCGAAGGCTAATGGTCAGGAAACGCGTAAAAGCATACCCAATCCTAAGATCCAGCTCTATTCTCGCATCTACGGCGTCGACTTGTTTCTGATCAAGGTCTGTGAGGCGTCGGGCAGCAGTGAGAATGTGGCTACAAGCTGTCAGAGAGAGACACTCGCATGTAACAAAAAAGGGGCCAGGCTTACGCTCGTTCGATGTTGCTGAAAGTGGCACGCTTGACGGTGATTCGGCTGTTGCCTTTCTTGGCAGCATTGACAATTTCTTTTCCAATGTGCTCTCCCTCTCGATCACAATCAGTCCAGATGACAAGAAGTTGGCAGTACCGAGCTTGCCGCTCAATGTTCTCCGCAACGGTTTTCTTGTCCTACACATGCGACTATCAGAATCCAGGCAACCTAAATCGAGAGGCAGAAGACGTACCTGAGGCACTACTGTTACTACTGGTGCACTGAACAAGCTCTCTGGCGGCGGGTGCGACCAGTTCTTGTTCTCTGGTGTGAACTCGAGTCCCGTAAGATGGCCCAGAACAGCCGTCATGGTAACACCACACGAACCCCACGGGGCGCCAAAGTCAAAGTCGAAGCCATAGTTTTTTATGTATTGAGAACGAGTGTTGTGCTGAGAAGTGTCAGCTTTCGCCAGAAAAGTGCGGCTTGCTTGATGCGATACTCACGACTTCAGGGCTTCGTCCTGCCAAATGGCCAGCAACGGCTTTCGAAATGGATGGTTTCTCGGCAACGCAGAGGACCTTCATCTTCTCGATGTGTAGGAACAACTGGTGCTCACTGCATGTAGATGGTTTGGGGCCCGGTAGGTCTCTGATCCTCGGCACTTTCCGCGAGTGCAGTCACAAATGTTATTGCTGGAAGAGCAGGAGCATCCTGCGATATCTACGTTCCTGCCTCGGAGACGCGTCTTCACGGGCTTGAGCGCGTCAAACCCTCATACGGCAGCTAATCAGTGTCTCTAGCACGTGCTGAGGAATCCAGCGTATGTGATTGCGAAGAAATCCTAAAAGCTCTGCCCAACTTTAATGTCACCCATCGACACATGAAAGATTTTGAAATGCACGTCGTTGTCGTTGAATTGAGGTCGAGACCATCTTCCTCGCTAAGGTACCTATGCCTGGCTCAACCCCACAGCGGGGCTGCCGCGCTGATTCGCGCTGTGCTTCTGGGATTCAGCTCTGGAACCCCTGGGCCAGTTGGCGATCTTGAGGTGTCGTCGATTATCTAAGCAGCGGTACCTCGACTCTCGAAGCTGGAATCCCCAGGCAATCGAAATGCTGCCCGTAAATGTACGGACGGTTATGAGTTAACTACCTTAGTTGGGATCAGAAGAAGAGAAAAAAAGTCGCAAAGCAAGTCGTCCCGAACCCGCGACCCCCCTCGATCTCGAGGTTCAGCCAGGTAGGTACCTCTGGTGACGGCATCAGGATCCTTCTTGGGAATTGCATCTCCTCGTCACCCAAAGTACTGGTAACCGAAATGATAAAAAGGGAAGCTGCCAGCTATGGCGTCACATCTGGTACCGCTTGCCACTCAAGGCTGCCCATCTAGGCACTCTAAGAGTAGAGTGTTCAAGGCACAATTGTACCGTTCGGCTGTCGTTGACAACGGGCGGTGCTTCCTTGGAGCAAACATTGCAATTCTGGCCCTATGAGGGTGGGGTCGTTGCTCTCCACGAATATACGCATCGTGAATACATAGGATTACCTACCTAATTGAATACGCGAATACCTACTGATACAAAAATTGAGCCTGTCGAGATGGTGGCCACCACCTCACATGCAAGACTAAACTGACGTAAGCCACCGGTCCAACTCTACATCTCATCGGGGGAAATTGTACAGATTGATCGACACCATTGCACAGATCTGAGATCTCACCGCCAGAAGTTCTTATTCTTACTACAAAGTTACATTTCCCCTGCTCAGTACCTTCTCACAGAAAGAGTAGGTACTGTAAGCAACGGTTTTCCATCTACCTTACCTTACCTTACCCTAGGTATGGATCTCTAGGTTGCGCAGAGGACGGATCTTCGGTCTCAAAATGGCCGAAGACCCCTGCACGTCACCGGAGCTGGCGGCGGGGACCTAAGCTCCCTGCGGATCTATGACGCGCTTTGTTTGCATCACCTCACTGCTGCTCCCATTTGCACCACCAAAGCTGTATCGTCAATAAAGACGGTCCTCGAGACAACCTTTTCGCAAGCCATCCGCAGTTTTCAAACGTCTGGAGGTGCAAAATCGCAGCTACACTAGAATCCAGGCCAAGTTCAGACACCCTCACCTGTCCGCAATGGCGCTCCCCGCAGTCAAGTCTCTAGAGGAGTGCTCCGAGTGGGCCAAGGTCGTCGAACCCTTCATCCCCCAGCTCCTCGAGCTCCCCGGCAAGATCATCGCGAGCCCGCAGTCGCTGCCCCAGATCTACCTCGAGACGAACCCCCTCGTCTCCGGCTTCGCCTTTTCCCTGCTCATTGCCGTCCTCACTCTCGGCGTGTCAGAGTACCACCGCAACTTTTCCCAAATCGACCGGCTGTGGAGTCTCCTGCCCAACTGGTATGTCCTGCACACGGCGGCATGGGCGTACCTAAATGGCGAACCTTGGCAGCGAGTCGCGCTGGCCGGGGCCGCGACCACCCTCTGGAGCGTAAGGAGAACAACAACGACCTAGTGACCACGCAGCTTGAGGAGATGAAGTGCTGACACCATTGTGCCGATAGTCCCGATTGACCTTCAACTACTGGCGCAAAGGAGGTTACGAGCGTGGAAGTGAAGACTACAGATGGTACTGAATCTCCTCCCCATCGAACATTGCCCCTCCAACAAATTTTCTAACATTGTGCATCCACGCAGGGAAATTGTCCGCGCATACGTCCCCGCCTGGGTCTTCTTCCTCTTCAACGTGACCTTCATCTCCTTCATCCAGTCCATCCTCCTCTTCGCCTTCTCCGCCGCGCCCGCCTACTCCCTCCTCCTCGCCAGCCGCATCGAGCCCGACCTCGCCGCCTCGGACTACTCCTTCTTCGCCATCCTCGCCGGCCTCGTTCTCAGCGAGTACATCAGCGACGGCCAGCAGTGGGACTACCAGACCGCCAAAGCCACCTACAAAAAGGGCAACGGCGCCGCCGCCTCCGTCCCCCGCGGCTGGGCTCAGGCGGACCTCGAGCGTGGCTTCGTCACGCACGGTCTCTGGGCCTACAGCCGCCACCCCAACTTCTTCGCCGAGCAGATGGTCTGGTTCGTGCTCTACCAGTGGAGCTGCTACGCCACCAAGGTGCTGTACAGCTACACCTTTGCCGGCTCCGCGTTCCTCGTGCTGCTGTTCCAGGGCTCGACATGGCTCACTGAGCTGATCACTGCGGGCAAGTATCACGAGTACGCCGAGTACCAGAGCCAGGTTGGCATGTTTATGCCCAAGTCGCTGTTTCCGTACAAGAAGCCCCCGCCAAAGGTCATCCGCACGAGCGAGCTTGCCAAGCGCCAGAGCAAGAAGGATAAATAAAAAAGGAATAGACTAGAAACATGCTTGTCCATGTTAAGACACGGCCTATTCAGTCGTAACGGGGAATCTTTTCTGGTCCGGGGGCTGGAATAGACGGTGAAATGCATCTGTGTATTCTTCTAGAGAAGGTCTTTTTCTAGTTTCTGGTGAGGTCGTTATGGAGTTCATCTATGCATCCGACGCATGTAATCATAGGAAAAATAATCATACCAAACTCATCCCAAACATTGCCACCCAGTCGGCCTGACTCATCTTCCTCCCTCAAACATCAAGCTTCAGGCTGGCAAGGCTGTCAACATAGTACGCCGGCACGGCCGCGGCCCCCTCCTTCTCCCAATCCTCCTTCTTGTGCACGCCAGTCAAGACGGCAAGCGTGCCGCCTAGCTTGCCCTCGATGCCGAACTTGATGTCCGTGTCGAGGCGGTCGCCAATCATGCACGTCCGCTCGCGGTTCAACTGGAACTTGCCCTCGACAGCGTCCATCATAGCCTGCGACGGCTTTCCCAGCGCCACGGGCTGCTGCTGGCTCATGTTGACGAGCGGGATCGAGATGGAGCCCGCGCCGGGGAAGAACGTGTGCGACATGGGCAGCGTGCTGTCCGTGTTGGTCGCGAGGAAGACGGCGCCGCGGCGGAGGTACTGGTACCCCAAGCTCAACTTGAGGTAGTTGATGTGGAAGTCCAGTCCCGCGAGCACGACGCCGACTTCCGGGTCGAGGGCGGAGCCGTCGGCGATGGCGGCAAAGTCCTCGGGGCCGATGTCGCGGCGCAGAGCAGGGTCGGTGCCGCCGATGAAGTCGACGCCTTCGGCGCGGAGCTCGGCTTCGATTCCGGCTTCGCCAATGACGAAGACTTTGCGCTTGTCGGCGGGGAGGTCGAGGATGCGGGAGACGTAGACGGCGGAGGAGTAGGCTGAGCCAAAGATGTCTTCCACGTCCGAGGGGATGTCGAGGGCGGCGAACTTCTTGTGGTATTCTTGGCGGGACTTTGTCGAGTTGTTTGTTACGAAGACGGTGCGCTTGCCTGTTGGTGGGGGGAAACGAGCACTCAAGAGGTTAGGGGCCGAGACATGCGATTTGTAAGAGATTTTCTAAAGGGGAAAAGTTCAGGGTGAGCAACCTCTTGAGCGAAGGAAGGCGAGCGTCTCGCGAATGCCGTCGAATAGGTGGTCTCCGGACCAGAGGACGCCTGTTTGCGTAGGAGAAGAGTTGTCAGTTGTGCTCAGAAGAAGCACTTGTTTCATCCGCAACGAGGACGATGAGAATTACCATCACAATCGATGAGGAAGACCTATATCTCATGAGATCAGCAAAGTCCTCATCTCATTTTCCGACCATCGTGAGGTTCTCCACTGGTGAAAATGACTCAACGAGGTGGGGGTTGGTTGCTGCTCACGTCAAACTTGTCGAGGAATTCTTGAGTAGCGGCAGAGTCACCGGTGAGATATTTAGGCTGCTGTGGTTGAGACATCGTGAACTTTTGGGAGCTTGGTGTTTGGATTTCAACAAAAAGTCTATCGGACAGGGCTAGGTTACTAAGGTGAGAATGAGGTGCAGTTCGTTCTAGAGGTTGAGTTTCGGGATGGTGGGACAAGGGTGCGGAAGCGGGTTTCTGGCATGCGGCACTGATGACGGAGTGGGGGGACTGAGGTCGGACGGCCATCGTCCGATTGGTTCGCGGATGCTGGTGGTACTTAGAGGCCTTGCAAGTGACGGCTCGATCTGGATGACATGGGATTATTGAAACCTGGGGAGGATGGAGTGAGACTGAGGGGAGGTCCAGAAATATGTCTGTAGCTCTCTGACATGGATGCAATGGGCTAAGGATTTGTTATCAGGTCTCTCAAGTGTTGAGGCTAGCGGATGTTGGAGTGCCTAGGTATTTTGAAAAGTAAAGTAGGTAGGAATTGTTCGATGAAATCTGAGATCTCATCGCCGCGTTGAGTGTCGTGCCTTCTTCCCCAGATTATTTCCATTGCAGTCGAGGCAAGTAGATTGGCTGGGCATGTTGCTCGCATTCATCTGATATTCTTACATATTCAATTCCAACCTCACCTCATGTCTGCGAAACCGGACCACTGCAGCATCTAACAAAGCCAGCCCACATTCCTGTCCATGAACAGCGGCATGGCGCTCATAAGCATTTCAACAAAAATGGGGTTTCCCCATGGGCCGGACTGATTGAGCAATGCAGCTAGGTTCAAATGTACGTGCTCCAGCATGTCCAGCAACGCAAGTCAACCTAGAAGCATACATGGAACCTGGTGAATGGGATAGATGGAATGGAAGACAATAAGCGCCATGCAAAGCCCGTTCCGCTGCCGGTCGCAGTGGCTGAACGGCCCCCCACGCCGAGGAGAAGGAAACAAGCAAACGCTCCGGGTGCGGAGTCTCTGTGCTCTGCCGGGCTTGCATTGCAGCTATGTCAGCACCTCTGCGTCCCTGCTGACCATGTGTCTCCATCTGTAATCGCTTTCCTACCGCCTCGGCTTCGGCATGGACAGCATGCATCTAGGTACTGCGTAACTATCTGACTGCTGTTGACCAACGTTAAGCTAGGTGACGTCAGGTGGGGAGCTGTCATCGCATGGCAAAGATGAGTCGTTGAACGGAGTGTCCGGGCGTGGTGGCGTCGAGAACGGATTTTTCATATGCCAATTTTCTTAACTCCCCATCGCGTTGCTTTTTTCGGGTGACAAGGGTATCCGTACCGTAAATACGGTCGGCGCCAATGGGTACATCTGACAGTTCCCATCGACGTATGCCGATCTCCTTTAGCAGATTGGATTGAAGCGCAATCCGTCAGATCGCCCGCCGTGTCCGTCTGTCATCCTTCAGCTTCCAAGGGCCTGGGATAATAACGTCGAAGCGCCAGCGCGAAACCTCCGTGGGAGCCGGGTAGGATGCCGTCGCAGGTGCACGAGTGCACGGGGGTCAACTTGGGTGGTGGCAGATGTTACTTCGCATGCAAATTGTCTGGAACTCTGGATCGGGGGCCATTGTGCCGATCAGCGGCAACGGACCAGACTAAGCGGCGGACCCTGAAAGTGTTAGTCCCTGATGATCAATCGATGGAATTCTGCTTGGCTCCGCTGCATTTCTGTCAGTGTAGCAACCACCACCGCGGCTCTCTTCCGTTCGCAACATCGTTTGGACCTCCGACTACGGCGTCGCAACTGCCATCCCAGTCCCGGGGGGCTTTCAACCACACAATCCGAGGCCGAATTGCGTGCGCGGCATGCCATGGGGTCTGGTTCTATTGCTTCCTAAGCTGGACTTGGACCAGGATGAGGAAGTTGCCCGAAGCGGCCGACCACGGTCAGCACAATGCTTCATTCCTTGAGCGGTGTAGATGAATGTCTGCCTCACCGCTTTCGCAGGTTTCACCGACCAGGCAGAGACCCTGGGGAATGAGCGTGGGGTGTCGAGGGGGGGTTCAGGAGGAGAGGAGTTCAGGTGCAGCATCGTCGAGACCCTCGTCCGGGGAAAGGCACGGATCGTGAGTATTGGCCCTTGGGGGGCGTTTGGGTGTGGATGAGGTTGGTTGCTTGGCTGGGCGGCTGACAGGCCGGCCACGTTCGGCGTGGGGGAGCTAAGCCAGGTGAAGCATGGGAAAGGTCCCGTGTAAGGAAGGTGTAGCAGACAACACCGACTAGTACCTACTTTAGACTCAGAAAGAGAGAGCGTGTGTGGGAAAAAAAAGTTCACTAGTTTGATCCGTCTCTACGGACCCTTCCCGGGTGAAAAATGCAATTCGCCGAGGCACTTCAGGTGATGAACGATTTTTCATTGCTATTGCCCTTTCGGTCCGTTGCTTCTTCCCATAGAGAGACACATAGACACACATCCAAAAAGAAAAAAAAATCAGGTCGTTTGCTTCAGACGGAAAGTATTATAAATCTGCTCCTCCCCGCTTGCCACACACCACACATGTTCGGACTTTACGGTCACAAGTCACAAGGATAGCCAATTTTGGACCGGAAGAGCCTGCCGTCGATATTTTGACTTTCTTTCCCTCGTCACGATCACCCAAGGTTCCCTCGGCCGCCGTCCCTTTGCGCCCAAAAACAGCAGCATTAACAATTAGATCGATACGAGAGCTCTCCTCCGCCCATCTCTAACGTCAACCACATCCACACATACCACGGTTCCCTGGCTCGTCCGTACCTTGCGGCCCTTTCTCCATAACCTTGTCCACCTTGGCCCAGATTAATCCCTATTTTTCCTCCCACACCCACTCAAAATAGTCCCGCGGAACCTGACTCTTCCCTACGGACCTACGCTATCTTTCTCCACCGTCCCAAACAATCGTCTCGTCAGCATTGGACCGAAGAAAGGCGGCAAATCAGACCCCACCGGAGACAGCTTTTCGATAGCACATATATCAGCAGCCATGGCTCCCCTCCCTATCTCTGAAGAGCAACTGCTCAACCTTTCATCTCTTCCCACCTACGACTACACAATGGCTTCTCAGGCACACAACGTTCAGACGCCCGTCACGGGTTCCACCGACGCCTCTGTCCAGGGCGACTACTTCACCTCTACCCAGAGCTCTACAACCACCTCGTCGCGCACATCTGCCGAGATCCAGGATCGCCCCGTTATCACTCCTGGCGGCACCGTTACGACCTCTTCCGCGCTCCAGACCAAGAACCCCCTGCCGCCCCTCTCCCGCGACTTCCCCAAGCCCGCCGCTGAGATCGACGTCGAGGAGGCTCTTTCCCGCAAGCCTGGCCGTTGGACTGTCAGAGGAGCCATTGCCGTCGAGCGACCCGTCCAGGTCGTCGACGAGGAGAAGGTCAAGGCCCAGCGCCGCAAGGCCCTTGAGGATGCCAAGAGGGAGCTCTTCGCCTCCAGCGAGGCTCTCAAGAACGTTCCGCTCCCGCCGCGCAAGAACAACTTCTAGGCGACGACGAATCACGGCCAAATGGGACAAGATGTCGCTGGCTACAGCAACGGCGACACAACCCACGAGTTACCGCCGGCGACGATGATTAAATTTCGGTGTTCTTGCATTTTCAGTACACTTCGACACACGACTTGTTCGGCTCGCGAACGGACTCGCGTCGAGCACCTTGCGCCAGTCGAAGACGATACCCAGGCGTAAAATCGGATTGATGGACGGGCGGACGGAGGAAGCACTAGCAGTCTGCGAGGAAGGCAGAGGCGTCGGACAGCGCAACATCAGGGCAATCAGTAGCGCACAGAGACGAATGTCTTTGCACCTCACCAAACGGCGTTTCATTCGAGCATGAGCAACTTCTTATTTTTCGGGGGGTTCACTTGATGAACATGATTAAAAGGGACGGGAAAAGTGAGAACGTACTGCGTTTTGCGGTAATCTGCCGACTTGTACATACGTGCAAATGAGTCAAATCCTAATACACGGCTTCGGCCAACCTAACCAGTCACCTAATCTCCTTACACTACTATACATGGACGTGACCTTAGTCAAGACGAGCTGCTAGCGAGAAACCGTACTGGATCATGGCAATGAAGCCAGCCAGGTTGATTAGGGTGGAGATGCCGTGAAGCTTGCCAAAGGACTTGTTGAGAGCCTGCATCTCCTGAGAATGCGGCGCGGCGTCGTAGCTCTTCTTTCCATCCTTCTTCTCTGTGTCCACTAGTCAGTACCACCACCCTTCGGCCAGCCGTAGACGCCGATGCGATGCGGGGGCTGTCATCAGTGCCAAACTCACCTTGGGCATATCTAGCCTTCATGACCGTCACGGTCTTGGGCAGGACGACGGCAAGGTTGACGAGGCCCGTGAGGAACATGGTGGCGATGGGCAGGAGGGCGGTGTAGCGGTTCGACTCCTGGAGGAGGCCGGTGATGCTGCTGGCCTGCTCGCCGAGGAGACCGCGGCTGCCCGGGTAGGTGAGGGCCATAAGGGCGGGGAGAGCCGTCTGAATGGTGAAGTAGACGGGGAACAGGGCGTTTTGGGCGGTTGCAAAGGCCGGCCGCTCGAGGACGCGGAACATTGTGATGCCGTTTACAAAGGACTTGTTTGGCCTGTTAGGGTACTTTGATCCAGGATCTGGATTGTGGTGGTGACTTACATGGAAGAACGTCGTTCCTAGGAGGGCTCCATAGCTATGTTGATAGTATTAGAGTATCGATGAACGACGAAGGATGATCTGACTCGATGCACTCTGAGAGAGAACGACTTACGAGATGATGTGGTAGGGACCCGGGGAGAATGCGATGGAGTCTGACATGATGGGCAACGGCGGTCACTGATGCAAGGTGTTTGATAATGGTAGATTACCCGTTTGGAATGAGGTTGGATGATGAAGAGTGGTTGCATTGATTGAGAGGCTATAGAATGATGCGGTGCCATCTGGAACGAGCCGCTCGTGAGGAGTACAGGGGTCCCGTCGAATGTATGAGGTCACCTCGGCATAGCTCCATTCCTTGCACCAGCGGGTGCCAGCTCGGGGTCCTTAAAGTTCCGTCCTTACCTCGCCTGCTAGTCCAATGCCTCACAATCAAAGCTGGGTGTACGGTATTCTCTTACAACTTGACGCTCGATTCGCAAACTCAACTCTCTATACGTTTAGGAAGATATATTGAGGTACCTTAGTAACATAGTTGGGATTGCATGAGAAGCTGACAGTCATGAGATGATTGATTCGCCGGGCTGTTTATCGTTATCGCCACGTGACTTCGTGTTGGTGACAGCCAGAATACAGTTGTAGCGCGCTTCCCCAGTGTATCCAGGTCGCGCCGGAGCCTGGAGCTCAATGGACCTCATCTGCCTAAAGTGAGCTAGGATCTAAGTCAAAGTCTCCGTGCGCCAACGTCCTTCTTAAAGGAAACCTTCATCGCTTGCTCAGAGCTTCTCTTACATGCTGCAAGACCTTGCATTGCATTGCGCTCAATGCCTTGCCTTTAGAACTCTCCGTCCATCCCAAAACCCCAACTTCTTCTAATCATCCTCACAATGGCGGACAAGGAGGCATCAGTCTACATTGTCGACCTCGGGTCCTCCATGGCCGATTGCCACAACGGCCGCACCGAATCTGACCTGGACTGGAGCATGCGGTACGTATGGGACAAGATCTCAACCACAGTCGCCGCCTCACGGAAAACATGGACCGTCGGCGTCATCGGTCTCAAGACGGATGAGACCCAGAACGCCATGGGGGAAGAAGAGGGATACGGCAACATCTCCGTCTTGCAGGAGCTCGGCCCAATGACTATGACTTCTCTGAGGGAACTCGCGGATACGGTGAAGCCGAGCGAGACGGAGACGGGTGATGCTGTCTCGGCCGTGGTCCTCGCCGTCGATATGATTGAGACGTTTACCAAGAAGCTCAAGTATAAGCGGCGCATCTACCTCATCACCGACGGCATGTCTGTGATTGATGGCGACGATGTCGATTCGATTGCAAAAAAGATCAATCACGACGGAATTGAGCTGATAGTACTGTGAGTTTGTCCAATGCATCAGCGTAGCGTTCGCACTAACACCAAGCAGGGGCGTGGACTTTGACGATGCAGAGTTCGGCTTTAAGGAAGAGGACAAGCCGTCAATCAAGGTCCGGCGTCTTTGCTCATTCTCGCTTCTACACAACTAACAATACTCTTATAGAAAAAGAATGAAGAAATTCTCAGGGATTTTGTCTCCAAATGCGACAATGCCCAATTTGCAACGATTGCAGAGGCCATTGACGAGCTCGACACGCCGCGCCTCAAACCCGTCAAGCCCTACAAGACATACGACGGACCCCTAACCCTCGGTCTGGCTGACCCTCCAGAGGACCTCAAGATTCCACCCACGCCCGCAGTCATCAACGTCGAGCGCTACTTCAAGACCAAGCAAGCCAAGGCCCCAACCGCCTCCACCGTCGTAGTATCGGCCGAACCCGGCCCCTCGCAGCAACTTGAAGGCGGCGACCCCATGGAGGGTGTCGAGTCGACGTCGGCTGGCTTCGCGGCGGTCAAGTCGGCGCGGGCGTACAAGATCAATGACCCGGACGCACCGGGCGGCAAGCGTGACGTTGAGTTCGAGTCCCTCGCCAAGGGGTACCAGTACGGCCGCACGGCGGTCGCGATCAGCGAGTCCGAGTGGAACGTCACCAAGCTCGAAACGGTCAAGACGTTCAGCATCATTGGCTTCATTCCCTGCGAAAAGGTATAGTACTGAGACGTTTTCTTCCCACTATGCAAATCCCGCCCCTTTTCTTCTCTCTAACAAGAAATCTCACACTGCAGTATGAGCCGTTTCTCAACATGGGCGAGACGTGCGTGACGGTCGCCCGCAAGTTTGACGAAAAGTCGCAGCTCGCCCTGTCCTCCCTCATCCACGCCCTCTACGAGCTCGAGTCCTACGCCGTCGCCCGACTTGTAGTCAAGGAGAAGAAGGACCCCGTCCTCGTTCTCCTAGCCCCGCGCATCGAGCCGGACATGGAGTGCCTCTATGACGTACCCCTCCCCTTTGCGGAGGATGTTCGGGGGTACCAGTTCCCGCCACTCGATAAGGTCATCACCGTCAGCGGGCAGAAGATCACGACAAATCACCGCTTGCTGCCCGGCGATGAGCTCACAGATGCCATGAGCGACTACGTCGATTCTATGGATCTGGGTACTTTTGGTACTGATGACGATGGGTATGTTCACTTCACAACATTCAATCTCCATTCCAACCCTCTACTGACGTCCTACAATCAAGAAACCCGTCAGAGTATGCTGCCATAGACGACACGTACAACCCAATTATCCACAGAATCAACCAAGCCATCCGCCAAAGGGCAGTCAACCCGGAAGGCCAGATTGACCCAATTCCTCCCATTCTAGTGCGCTACGCCGCGCCTCCAGAAGAACTAGTCGAGAAATCAAAATCCCAAATCGACGGTCTCATCTCAGCAGCACAAGTGAAGAAAGGTAAAAACCAACCCCTTTGCCCTCCACCCTCGCCTCACCTCTCCTTTCCTTCCCCATCCCGCTGACATCCACGATAGTTCCCCCCAAAGCAAAGGGAAAACGCAAATTCGAAGCCGCAAAACCCCTCTCAGGCCTAGACGTCGACGCCCTCCTAGGAACGACGTCCAAATCCGCCTCGAAACGCCCCAAAATTACCCCCGAAAACGCCATTCCGGACCTCAAGCGCGCCCTCGCCACCGCGGAAGACGAGTCCGAGATCCGCGACGCCGCAAAGCAGATGGCCGCCGTCGTCGCGCAGCTCGTGACGGACAGCTTCGGCGACAACAACTACGCACGCGCGTCCGAGAACCTGAGCGTCCTCCGCCGCGGGCTCGTCGAGCTCGAGGAGCCGGACGTGTATAATGACTTAATCAGGGACCTGAAGAAGAAGATGCTCTCGGGCGAGCTGGGCGGGGATCGGAGGGAGATGTGGTGGCGGGTGAGGACGTCGAGATTGGGGTTGATTGATCAGGGGACGTCGGAGGTTTCGAATGTCATGAGCGAAGAGGCTGATGAGGTTCGTTCTATCTCTCTATCATGGTTTGATGTTTTCTGAGTGATCCGTTTTACTAACCCCAATTGCAGTTTATAAAGTCAAAATGAGTGATGAGGTCAAATCACAGCGGGCGTTGGGAAAATCATGATAGTCTACGGCGGATCTCTTGTAAGCCCTGAATGAGCAAAGGACGGATTCCCGTGCACGCAATTCCTGTGCATGCCTAACTATCTATCCATCTTCCAAACGTGTTTGTGTGAATGCGTAGAAGGAGAATGCTCCTCTACATGCCGGCCCAAGCAACCTCACTTCGCCTCAACCTTCTCCTTCTCACCTTTCTCCTGGTCTTTGTCAACCCTCTCTCTGACAGCGACGCCAAGCATTGCCTGCATGGTATACGCCGCATCGTTGCCCGCATTGTGGAGATTGCTGTGCTCGACGCCCAGGTCAGTCAGCACCATACCCAAGCTGCGGCCCTGCGACTCGCCGCGCCAGGCCTGGTGCATGTCCTTGGAGTCGAGAGTACGGCTCGCGACGCCGCTGATTCCCCAGAGCTCCACTCCCATCTTGTCCAGGTATCCGAGATCGGCTCCGAGATCGTGGCCGAGGAGGACGATGGTGCGGGGGCGTTTGTCTTTGTCGGCGGCGTCCTCTTTATTGGCGAAGGAGAGGTCGCTGACAGCGGTGCAGACCTTGTCGGGGAGCTCGCTGAGCTTGGGGTACTCGCTCTTGCTGTGTATGGTCAGTCTGTGATTCTTCTGAGACGGTGATAGTGCATGGCTTACCCAAAGTTGAAGAGCTCAGGACAACCCTTGAGGTATTTGCGGTTGCGGATGTGACGGTATTCGTAGGTCACGAGATGGCGGTTCTTGATAAACGGAACCCAGTTGCGGCCACTCTCGCCAGGCGGAACGCCAACGAGGTCATTGGTGTCCAGGGTCGAGATCCCTATCTCCAATACGGTTCCGTGGTGCTCCTCAGCGACCTCAATGTCGATGCACACAAAGACCACATTCTGCTCCAGCGCATGGGGAACCGGCTTTTCCAGCTCGACCTTCTTGTTCTTCTCATCGACATCGCCAGCATTGGGCCGAAGACCGAGGTACAGTTGCGCATCGTAGAGGGACTCGGCCCGGTTCAGCGCCTTGTTCTGCTTCTTCTTCTTGCTCTTGGTCTTGACATCCTTGAAGTTGGCGTGCATATTGAGCAGCTTCATGAGCGTCTCCATTCCAAAGACAGTGGCATCGTCACACGCGTCGTCGTCCTCGGGAGGCGGAATCGCGTCGTTCAGGGCGAGGTACTCGTTGTGCGAGGCGGAGCGGGCAATGTACTTGGGCCGAATGGTGCAGCTGGAGCCGAACACGAGGTAGAACATCTCGCCTGGCTTACCAGCAGGGATGGTCAGCTTCGTCTGAATCGAGGCATTAACGATGTCCAGGAAGTGCTGGAACTGAATGGTCGGAACGAAGATGTAGGGCGACTGATCCAAGGCCTTGGGGTGGTAGACGTAAAAGCTAGAAAGGGGTCAATTTCTCTCGTATGAAAAAAGCCTCGTTGGCTACTCACAAGTCCCAAGTGTGCTCCTCGGTCATATCATCAAAGAAGGGAGTTGCCTGTATTCGGCGTCAGCTAGGAAATGAGCCATTTTTACCCAGGGCGACCGCTCACCTTCGGTCGATTGGTCTTGCCGATGAAGCTGAGAGGGTATCTCTGGACGACGTCCCAAGAGACGAAGGTCATGTTCTCCGCCGAGAGGTCGCCCGCCTTCATCCCCTTGAACTCGGGAAAGTCTTGCTTCATTAGGGCGTTGAAATCCGCAGGAGCTAACTTCTCAGACTTGGAAGGCTCGAGAGGTGGTCCGATGTAGTGGGGAGTTTTCTTCTCGACTGGCTTGGTGATAGATTTTCCCTGGATTGCTGCTTTCCTGGCTGCAATTTGACGATCGAGAAGGAGAGGGTCCAGAACAATTTCCTCTAGGGTATCTTCCACTTCTTGAGAAGTGCCTTCCTCGAAGAAGATTTCGTCGCCAAAGGCTCCGAACAGACGCTCAAGCTGCTCAGCTTGGGTGACGGCCATTGTGGAGTGAGCGGGCGGAAGGTGTAGAGAATACTAGAGTGTGTGAATGCGCCAGGTGAGTGGAAGATGGAATTTCGAAAGACGAAACAAAGTGTCTGAATCGGCCAAGAAGAAGCTGTTTGCTTTAATTGAGTACGTATGAGTGTGACCTTGTGGATATGTAGTTGACGGGTGATGGTTGGGCTAACGAAGCTGAGTTGAACTTGGTAGAAGTAGAAGGGAAGATCTCTGAATGCGGACGTCCTTTAAAAGTCAGAAGGCTTGTGTATCAAAGAGAAAGAGAAAGGGGCATTTAGATAAGGTGCCTTCCCTACCGGTACTTCAAGAGGTGGAATACTCAGCTAGACGATGGAACAACCAAGATGAGTAGAGTAGTGAGGCGGAATGTGCGATAATACTGATGAATCCAGCCTTAGGAGATTGTGAATACTGCAAAGAGAGCAAACTGAGGTGGATCATAGAGATCACAGTGACAAAGCTCTCTCAAAAGTACATTGCCAGACTTATTCAAGTCCTGTCGCTATGAATGCGAACATGTAAATTCTTTCATACCCTCAGTAGCTTACGTTAGCGGCGGCAGCTACTGAACAAGATTCCGAGTCTTATAGAATAGTGCGATTCAGAATGATGATAACTCTGATGGTATTCAATCAAGATGTACAGCCTTCTTTAACGGGTATTAAGGGGAAAGAGGAGTCTTTGAAGTCACTTTGCTGCTACAGTATACATCTTTGACAAGTCGTAAGTAGTTGGTAATTGAGGAAAATCTAAAGAACAGCACCGATATTCTGGAGACAGACGCTTCCAGAAAGCACTTGAGAGCAGCAACGGCTCCATTTCTCTAGCATTGTTCTCAGCTAGGGAATGAGTGAGATGAGCAGACTTCGCGGACAGATCCGAGAACGTAAATTGAGTCTAGTTACAGCGAACAAGTAGGCTGCAAGAGGAAACAAAGCTTCAATAACATCTTAAACAGGCTGGACAAGTTGAAGCACCCTTGGGGGGACGCTTCCAAACTTTGCCGCGCAAGTATGTAAGTCGAAACCCGAGCGTTTGCGAGGTCAAAAGCTTCAGTTATCAAGCTGTAAGATAGGTGGCTTGAAGTGGTGGGAATAGTTAACGGCAAACGGATGAAAACATCTCAATTGTCTGGCTTCGGCTACTGATGTATGCATTAATACAAACAAGGTCGAAAATTTCTTCGCAACTGGATCAGACTGAAGTTATCCAAACACTTCTTACACAACAGCCGCGGCCCAACAAACCGATCTCAGCACCAGATAACTCATCGTATTAACGCAAGCAGCATCCTAATGTCCAAACTTTCCCCAGTAAAAGCATTCTTATACACAACCAGATTAAGGTAAACAGCCCGAATCAATCCACTCTACCTTAGGTTGGCTGGGGGCATCTCCACACAACGTACAGGTACTGAGCATCAACGCTCACCAGCTTGCTTTCCCTTCCAACCTGTTCCTATGCTTTCAAAGGCGCTCGTTCATATATAGAGCACAGAATGAAGGCAGATTCGATGGTTTAAGAAGGTAGATGGGAGAGAAGAGAGACGAGAGGGTCTCATGCCATTAAACATGTTGTTACAACAGGTCCCGATACCAAAAGACCAGACCATCCCAGCCCAGTCATACGCGAACCCCCTCTTTTCTAGAACCCCTCTGAGGAGATCCATGTCGTCGCCCATAAAACGCCACCGCTATGAAGAACGACCAATCTATTATTACAAAACCATGCAGTCACCCGGATTCGGAGTTGAGTAGGCAAGGGCGGGGCCCATCCGTCCGTCCATTGGTCCCATGGTATCTTGTTTTGCGTTCGTATGTCTTTTTCGTGCTTGTTGTTACATTTCCAGATTTCCAGATTTCCAGATGCCGAGATGATTACGGCTAATGTCAAGACGTCGTCTTCTCGAGCAGTTCCTTGGCCTCGTTGACCTTGGTTGCGAGGTACGGGCTACCGCCGCGATCGGGGTGGTTCAGGAGCATCAGGGTGCGGTGCTGCTTGCGGATCTTGTCGCGAGTGACGCCGCTCTCCCTAAGAACGCATCATGTTAGATGTTGTTTCTTTCCGATATTTCCAGGTTGACATCGTCTTCCCAGTTATTTCGCCAGGTTACCGTGCTTCGGGGGATTTCGTCGACTTACTGGAGGGAGAGAATGAGGCATGCCTCCTTCTTGTTCATCTTGGGCTCGAAGCCGCCCTTGTAGAAAGCCTTGCCCATCGCGCCGACGCCGCCGCGTGATCGGCGCCATGCGACCAGACCAGCTCGGCCCTGTAGGAACACTTTTGTTAGTCGTGGTCCTTCTTGAATGCGCTTTGTTTCTATCGTACCAAGAAAGCTGCGACGGCAGCGCCGCCTCCGATAGCAAGAACAGAAGCCATGACCGCTAAAGTTTTGTGTCGTGTTTCGTCGATACGTCGTTGGAAGGTGGATGACTGCGGAAAAAAGCGGATGGGGTATCGCGAAGAAGGTCTTCGGGGTCGGAGGAGAGCTTTTTTTTTGGGCTGCAGTCGCCGCCGCTCACAGAGCAAGCCGTGATGCGCCGGTCTTGGTCCGTGCTGAGCCGTTTTTCGGAAGACCTGTTGGACCGTTCCGGCAGGTTCAGTTGAGTGGAAGCTTCGTTTGCATTATGTCAGCAGACCCCTGGATTCCACCAATCCCGCTGCAATCTTATCGCAGCAAAAACCCACCTCAGTTTCCCCCCGCCCCACCACAATCGATAAGCGGTGCCTCGGAGCGGCAGAAGAAAAATTTCTAAAAAACTTTTGGAGGTCGAGGTCTCGATCACCGCCTTCTGAACCCTCCCCGTGTGTGTGTTTGGAAGAGTCGTCGAAACCAACACCAACAACCCAACGACCGTGTGACTACTAACGTGATACCCGTGAAGGTATCAACGCCGTCACAATGAGGTATGCTCTTATTCATTTATCCATTGTCATACAAGTCAACCATTGACCCATGGTTTACTCTTCACTTCATTCGTATTTGCAAGATTTCTAACTTCATGATGCTTTTAGAATCGAGACATGCTACTTTTGCAGTCGCCCTGCCTACCCCAGTAAGGGCATCACCTTCGTCCGCAATGACTCCAAAGTGTTCCGCTTCTGCCGCAGCAAGTGCCACAAGAACGTACGTTTCTAAGCTGTCTTCAACGACTCTTGCGAAGAACCCAATCCCCCCTTCTCCTCGACCAATGGACTAACCGCCCCTTGGCACCACAGTTCAAGATGAAGCGCAACCCCCGCAAGCTCAAGTGGACAAAGGCCTACCGCGCCTCGGCGCACAAGGAGATGACGGTCGACAGCACCCTCCAGTTCGGCGCGCGGCGCAACGTCCCCGTCCGCTACGACCGCGACCTCGTCGCCAAGACGCTCAAGGCCATGGAGCGCGTCTCCGAGATCCGCTCCCGCCGCGAGCGCGTCTTCTACAAGAAGCGCATGCAAGGCAAACGCGAACGCGAGATCGCCGCCGCGCGCAAGCTCGTCGCCGAGAACGAGCACCTGCTGCCCCGCATGCGCGGCTCCGAGAAGAAGAGGCTCGCCGCCGAGGGCGCCACCGAGGAGGAGATTGCCGCGCTCGAGGCCGAGGGACGCCTGGCCAAGAGCAAGGCCGGCAAGGTGTTCGGTCGCGAGAAGATTCGCCAGCGGGTCACTGTCGACGGCGACGTTGTCGAGGAGCGCGAGGGCGGCGTCATGCAGGAGGACGACGGCGAGTGGGACGACGAGGATGCGGAGGAGGACGACGATGACGAGGATGGCGATGTCGATATGGAGGATTGAGCGTGACGACGACGACGATGAGGGACGTTTTTGTCACGTCTTCTTTTTTACGAACCGACCGAAAGGAGGAGGGGGACCCCCCATCCCATCGAGGGATAGGAGAAGATGGAGAAAAAAAGCCAACCACCCGGATGAGGAGAAAGAAAGACAAAACGCTAATCGAATCGAAGAATGGGCCTCTCTCTTCTCTCCGCTCTCCTTCAGCAGAGACAAGAGTTGGCTTTGGGGGGCTTTGTTTTTATACACGGGCGTTCAGGGATACAAAAGGGCTATTTAGCATCGACGGCGTTTGGTGGCTCTGAGAAGGAATACCACAAAAAGTTATTCAAGGTCCAGATTGATTCAGATCGGTTCCTCCGTCATCTCAGCCGCCACCTTTCCTCCCGTCTTGTGGATGCGATGCCGTATCCTCTCAGCCTGTGTTGTCTGGTATAGCCATCCGGATGTGCTCCACGATCTCGAGGCTACTCGACACTGTCTAGAGTGAATAGCGGCATGCTAACAGAAATGCGTGCCATCACATTGTCGCATCCCCCTTTCTCAGAACAAAGGAGTCAGCGAAATAGACATGGCGAATCCAAGCTTACAAGCTGTTAAATCTCCTACATGCTCTCAAAAATTGCAAGTGAAATCGCCCAAGACGAGCGTTGCGGGTATCAATGCTTCTCAAATGTTGTACAAACGAAACCACCCTAACTCCAGGTATCCCGCAATCCCATCACCGGCAACGTACACACCGCTTGGGGGATGCCATACCCTTCAAGCACCCTCTTCCTCCTTCTTGGTAGTATGGTGAAAAGCCTTGGGCGGCATGGGCAAACCGGCCTCGACGTCCTCGATAATCTTCTTCTCGAGCGCCTCCTTGCGCTTCACCTCCTCCTCCTCGCTCGCCTCAGCGCCAGGCACAACGCCTCCCGTATAATTGCCGGCGCCGCCGCGGCCAGAAGCACCCCTCGCCGCCGATCGCGCAATGCTGGCATTCACGGCCGCCTGTGTCTTGCTCGCGAGCTCCTCTTGCTGCTTGGTGCCGGGGAGAGAGGTCGGGTCCACGTAGTTGCCCGATCCTCCTCGTCCCGCGCGCACGTAGCCGGTCGAGGTCGGTGACGTCGAGGAAGCGGCGACGTCGGTCGACTTTTGTGCCTCAATGTCCTGTTTGCCGTGGATCATTTTGGGTTAGCTACGAATTGCTCTTGAAGGACAGACCGTCTCGCGTGTTACCTCTGGCTTGGCCTTTTCAGCATCATCCACGTCCTTCTTTGAGAAGAAGTTCCCTGAGCCTCCCCTCCCTACTTTACGGAATACATCGGACATGGTCGTTGCGACGGGGGATCCTCGAGCTTGGTGCTGCGGGCGAAATGGGACTACGATGCGACTGGGTCTGGCGGGATACTACAGAAAGTTCGGAGCAATCTGGGGAACGACTACCGCAAAAGAAGGGATACGAAACAGTCGAAAATGTGCAATGAACAAGATAAAAATGCGGTACAGAGATCCAAAAATGCTGCCTGGTATCTCTGGGCAAATGGTTCAATAAGAAAAAGTGACGTTCAGTTTTGGTGTAATTGGCAATCCCTATCGGCTAGCCACTTGCATAGTGTGGCGCCGCGGGGTTAATCAAACGCTGCGTGGGATTGGCCACTTTATCAAGTGTACGCAGTCGGGCTTCCGAGAGACGGGAAATCATTCCAGTTTATCGACAACAGACATTCCTGAACACAAGGTTGCTGAGCGCCGGTTGCCCCGAGTCTTCAGAGAATAGCTTTTATGTTTCTCGTATGGCTCCCTTTATGGCAGTATATTTCCCCCTCGGGACAATACGCGTGCGGCTCAACAAGGCCAAAGACAGCTCACGCAACGCAGCACTCGTTTGTCGATCGCTGCATCCGGACATGAAATGCCCTTCATTGATCCTGGATCTTCCATGTGCTGCTGTCAAGGGATAATTCTGCTCGGCTTCGGACAGGTTGAGAGAGAGATCGACAGGTACGTCGGCCAGGACTCATGACTTCCTTTAGTCTTCAACAATAGCAGTGCCTTGCAAAGATTTCTTTGGCGCATTTTCATCGTCGGGACTGAGAGAAGTGCTCTGCGAGATCCCAAGCTGTCAGCTATTCCCGAAAGGTGGCTGCTGCGAGACTTTCCCATTGCAGCTCTCGCGATGAGCTCTACCACCTTAGCCAGTCCAAGGGTCCAACCCCCCCTCTCTACAGTCTCTTTGTGTGAAGGGGGAGCGGAACGCACGGGAGTGGTAGCACCAAAAACCTTCTCCCGATCCCCGATGAACCTTCCCTACGGTTCGGCGCTTCTCTATTAATACATAGAGAAAAGAGGTCCAACATAAGTGAATAGCATCATCCCACGTGGAATGCCTTTGCTGACGCAGGTACGCTGGAAATCGGACTGGTAAAAGCAAAACCTCGAACGCTTTGCCTGGGGATGCCGTGGGCGTCTCTCACACGTCTTTCCAATGATAGGTGAAGAGGCCCCCATTTCTATCTCAGAGAAAGATACATGACAGTACGAAAGTGTACCTGTGTGGTATCCACTCTCGTAGACAGGGTTTTTGATAGCGACACGCATCCGACGGAGACTGGAGGGGGTGATGTGCAGCTGCGGCAAGAGGGGCGAGTTGGCCAGACGCGTTGATCAACCTAGTCCGTTTGTGAAAGTGGCATCCACAGGTGTCTCCGCTGTTCTTCTGTTCTCGTCGTGACAGCGCGCGGGGATGACAACGTAGCAGATACCATGCTGGACCGTTTCCGAGAGGAGCTGAGGTGATAAATCCCAGGTATCCGTATCTTGGTGGAAAGATAGGGAAAAAGGCGAATTCCCATACTCACGTAAGACAGTAAGACGGGGCGCAGCGCAACTCTGTCCTTTTTTTTTTTTCTCTTTTTTTCTTTACGCTCAGTCCTATGACCCGTGGGAACAGGCATCTGCTTGTTCCGTGTCTCGACTCTCTCTCAAGGCGCGAGGTCGGCCGCGAAGCTGTCACTTCACCTGGTAAACCTTATCTCCCTCGCGTGCAGGGCTGCGCCTTTACAGAGAGTCCGCCGGCACAACCGTTTTGTGAAATTGTGCGGCCGGCGACGATCGGCGGGGGTTGTTGCCTCAATGGGAGAGCTTTTATGCATGGAGAAACCAGCTTCGGGATGGCATGGCACTGCTCAGAGAGTGAGGGGTGCAGCTGCAATGGAACAGGGCAGGACCCTGGCACACTTGTCTCGACTGCCCTACTGCCGTGCTGCTGAAGTTTTGGGAGCAATCGACGATTTGGCCTGGTGGCTCCCTTTCAACCCGCTCGATGTGCTAGGACAGCCCTGTAACAGTGAGAGGCCGAAGTGTGATAAAGTTGGCGATCGACAACACGTTGACAGTTTCGCGGTGGAGTTGCCATTGGGGTGTTGCCCTTAGTGTGCTTTTGTTTTGCGCAAACCAGCTTCAGAGTCTGAAAAAAAATACGGAGTAGTCGGAGTGTGCGCCGATGCGCTTGAATACTATGATTTGTCGAGGGACAATGTTGGGAGAATGCTTAGTCGTACCTGGTCGTCTTGTGGGAACCCTTTGTCGATCACAGATCATGGGTATAGGGCACGACGAGCTGATGCCAACGTGGTTCTTGCGTTAATCAGACGCGGATGAAGTCGACCTCGAAATGCGACCATGAACAATTGCCTCCTTCAGTCGGCGGCCAACAAGGCATCCCCATACTGTGTCTGTTGTAGAATATGGAGATCATGCCTACTCAGTCTATGTAGAAACCATTTTGCATGTGTTACACAGCATTGCTAGCTGTCGTCGATAATTGGTTGGGCCATTGAACAATGTTCCTTCCATCTTGATTTCTCTCAGCGCAACGACAACACGGCTAGCGCTTCCGAGAGCCTTGCTAGAGGCAAGCTTGCGCCTGTTGCTTCTGAGAGTTGATTTCTAAAGTAATTTGGCACCGGCCAAAGCCAGCTTTCAGTGACGTCCAATTCAAGATAGTCGAGTCTCACTAGTTGTGCTTTCTAATCTCCTAGACACTGGTTGCAGTTCCTTTGGTTCAGTTAGCCACCTCCAATGGTAGCGGGCGTGGATACCGGTGAAGGGGTTGAGACTGTCAAAGAATCAAGATGTGAAGCATAGGCGGGAGGCTGGCCTAAAGGCGTAAAGCCTGCTGGCGTTACGGGAGATCCCAGAGTCCCAAGTCGATGCCACAAGGACAGTTTTGTGGTTTCTTTTTCCTGAGACAAGAGCGGCTCGTCGACGTTGGGGAAACACCGGAGACATAGGTACCAACGGCAGAAACCGAGGAGACATTTTGCATGCGTTCAAAGCGTCACTTTCGGTGACTGAAACTCTGGTCACTCAGGCCTGGACTTGAACCGCTGCGCCCAGTGACGCACTAGTTGCATAGTGAACTTAGGTAATGCCTATGAAGGCGAGGTTGGCTGTATCCAAGATTCGGGCAGAGCGTGCGTGTGTCTTTCTCGCGTGCGGTGTGGCTTGGCCATCTCCGGACATTGGCGAGTAGATTGATGTTGGAGGACATCTCTGCTGACGATCTTGGGACTGCGTTACCAATGCCCAGCCCAGGCTGAGCGATGGCATCCAGGAAACAATAGTGTCAAGTGGCAAAAGCATCCCATTCTGATTCTGGCCGGTCAGAGGCAAGAGTAGGCAGCATAAGCGACGGTCTGCGTCGGGGAGCGCAATAATGACGGGGTGGACGACGTTCCGCCAGAGGCACGAGAATCCACCCGACTTGCCCAGAGCAGAAGCCCGCATGGCGCCCGATGGAGGAGGGGAGGGGGCCAGCTGACCGTCCCGAATGGCAATGGCGGCCCCCTAGCACGGCGTGAGGGAGACGGAGACGAGACCGGACCCAGGACTGACCGTCTGACCGATATCCTGGCCAACAGCTGGACTCTATCAGACTCCAGCGGATTGCCGGTCAGCGGAAGTTCTGGAGAGCAGAGTGCTGTTAAGAGACGGCCGACGGCGAAGGGGTGAACTGTTGTTTCCGTACTGAGGACAGTGTAGTAGGCCGGGCCGGAAAGGAAAGCTGTTTGATCGGGTTCGCGTTGCTCCAATGCCGCCTCAGTCAACTTCAGGCCAGGCAGACCGACCGTCTCAGCGAACAAGTCCTGTGATTAGTGGTCACTAGGAGGGGCCTGTATCTGGTCAGAAGGTGGTGGAGGAGGTGAGCTGGTGGTGGGGAAGCCCCAGGCGTGTGGTTGTGATGTCCGGCTCTGGCGCGGATGATTGGGAGGACGTTTCGCTGGGGTGTCTGGTTAGTGTGGAGCAAGATGAAAGAGGATGAGAAAGACAAGGAGTGCGAGAGGGGGAAGGGAGGAGTGGACAAGGGATGGGGGTGGTGTTATCGTCAACTTACTGTGTGTGGTAAAGTACGGTAGACCGTAGTGGTGGTGGTGGACTGGTGGTGGCTCTCCATCGTCGCAACCCGTTGATGGTTGTAGCACGTCTCCAAAACGGACACGAGAGCTTGAACGGCACACGGTGTAGGGCTTTGTTTGTCCGATGTTCTGCCTGTCGTTTCCCATCTGCTTTGGCCGTGGCCCTTTACGTACCTACTTCTACGGATTGAAGCCGCAGCTGTTGCCCCTGAGTTGACAAAGAATTGAACTCATGTTTGGTCCGCGCTCGAGCAAACTACGTCACTGGTTGAGATACGGGTGGATAGGGACTTCCCCAGGAACGTGACTGACCAGGGCACTGTCCCCACTGTGTATTTGTCACGGAATTGTGCAGACAGTCAGACAGTGTGCGACGAATTATCACTGTCCAAGGAGTATATGGAGACACGTACCTTGCCTTGCCCGGGGATTGGATGGCGCTTACCTAAGGTACCGCTTGCCGGGCCTGCACTGTGTACCTGCGTTGTTTCCCAGCACCAACATGAGGGGCCTTCGTACCTGCCTCGCACCCAACGACTTGTCAACCCAACAACGCCGTCGAAGAGCTGTCTCCTGCTTGGCTTCCGTGTGATCAACGATCAGCAGAACCGTCCATCGGGGATTTTCTTTATTTTGGATTCTTCATCATTTCTTTTCCCGTATCTCTTGTATCTGTACTTGCTAATACTCGAGGTTCCTTGCTTCTCGCATTCTCTGAGCCGACTACCGGTAGCCATGCAGATCCAATCAAGAAACAACAGGTTTACGATAACGTCGCCTTTTTCGAAGAAAGAAGAACACGAAACAACGATTGTGAAGGACAGAGTACTCGAACCAAAGTGCCAAATCAAAGCCAAGGCACACAGGTCGGCAATTGTAGAAACACTAGGAGGCATCCACCCGAGTTCCAATAAGACATCTTTCCCATGCCTTTTTGCGCAATGCCTACTCCGTACCTTGCCTCCTTGCTTCTTCCCACTTTTGCAGCTTACCATAGACACTCACTACCTACGGAGTATCATGTACTAAGGTTCTCGCGCAGTGCTTCCCAGGCTTGGGTTTCTGCCGTTGACAACCCCCTCACGGTCTCGCTCATTCGACCAGCGCACAGCGCATTGCGCACAGCTCATACAGCTTACAACCTTGAAGCTCGCACAACACAACTTTGGCATGACCTGGCATAGGAGCAATGCAAAGCTACTGCCTTCTCCCCCGCGTGCGAACTTCCGTTCCTGATCCGATGGAAACCACCTTCTCCAGTTAAACGAGACCAGACGCGGCCAATGCTCTCTCTCTCTCTCTTTCTCTCCGCCCTATGCCCCAACGCCCCAACCTGATGCTCACTGCTCCAGCCTCCAGCTCTATGGCCCGGGAGCAGTCGCCTGCCCTCCCGCCTATGGAGCCACCACGTTAGGGGAGCAGAGCCGTCGTGGGGTGCGACCCAACGCTGAACCTGGCAGTCCGCCGAAACATGCCACTTGCGGTCGATAGGCCTCTCGCTTCCGACCAAGACACGACATTCTTTACAACTCATTGGAGCCTGCCTGTTGTCTCAATCATTCCACATCGTTACCTCGCGAACAGAAGACCCCAAGAAGGAGAGAAGCAGAAAAAATAAAAATAAAAAAAGATTTGGCGGTCACCAGACTAGCAAGGTCCCGACAAGTCTTCAGACGACTGCGAAGTATCCGTACGGGATCAAGGGAACCAGACAATCAGAGAAATAATTAGGCACTCGAGCCAAACTAAGCCACCCTGGTCTAGCTAGGGACCAAGGCACGAGTCCACCTGTGTTGGTGTACGGGCGAGGCGTTTACCAACAAAGGCCGCGTTTCTTTGAGCGTCTCTCTTGTTGGCTTAGTCGTTTGGCATAGATCCTAGGGCAGAATTACTCCCATATCACACACACTTCCACCGTATATCGTCATATCCGCGCTTATTTCAAGGATCCGGATCATCCAAGTTCAGAGAGCATCGTGAACAACCGACGAGCGGCGGCGACATCTGCGAGCACTCCGAGAGTCGAGAATAAAAGTGCCATACATAAAATTGCTATTTACGATGTGCAACTCAAGCACGCTATCGGCCCTGGCCATCAATGGGTCTGGGCTCTGGGACGAAGGACGAGGGTTATGGGTTACTGGGATGGATCCATGGGCTCCGTTCACCCCTCCCCCAGTGACCTTTCCCCGCCGCACCGGCGCCTTACGGACACGTCCATCGCTCGGGAGGCCGACCATCGCTCGCCCATTGCCAAAGGACGACCACGGGCCATGCTCTATGCTCCTTGTTCCTGGCGCCCGTCCGCTGCGCTCACGGTCATGTCCACTTGCACCTCCCACCACCTGAGAGGTACATGCCAGCGTGCCTTGGCCCGGTTGCACACTGTGGGACACGGGGAAAGGGGACAAGAAAGGAGTGGAGGTGGAAAGATACATACAGCAGAGACGGCGATGCAGAGAGAAAGAAGGAGAGAGACGCGGAGAGAGAGAGGGCCAGCCAGTCAGTCCCCTTCCCTCGTCCATGAACCCAGCCGCGCACCTCACCCTCACTTCCAACGCCCAAGTCTACACCCCCTTCCTCTCTCAGCACACACCCACCCCCACCCATCCTCTCTTCTTTCTCTCTCTCTCCTCTGCCGCTTTCTCCTTCTTTCCCGCCCAGCGTCGTCGCTCTCTGCGAGTTCAAGGTGTGAGGGGGAGTGTCGTGAGTGAGTCTGGTCCTCCTGCTGCGGTACGGTCTTCTGCCCCTCCCCTCCCTCCTCCTTCTGGCTCCTTCATCCTAGCGACCTGGTGGTGCAATACGACCAATGAAGGCTGATGCTCGTCCCCGACCAGCGCTTCTCTTCCATTTCTTTCTGGCAACTTGTTGGAAAGGGCCGTCTGGACTGTTTCGCCCATTGCTGGACTTTTTGGGTCCTCTCCCAAACGTACTCTGTCTCGAGCCCACAACTTTTTCTCTCTCACTTCAGCTACACCTCGATTCAAAGCACAGCATTCAAGCGGAAGGGTAAAGAGAGAGAAAAAGAGTTGAATCCGGCCTGGACCTCGACAGCCCTGTTGATCATCAGTCGACTAACCCCAAGGCATCCTGACCGTTCAACACCACCACCACCACACTCACCACATGCTGTCGGCTGGTCCAGCTCGGAGCTACTAGGTACACCCGCCCACAGACACACCCCTGCCCAATTGCTGCTCCTCCCCAAAATAATATTATTTCTCGCCCGGAGGCTTGTCTTTGCGACTCACTTTCTACCTGTCCATCTGCCTACCACCTTCGAACAACAACACACGATACCGCCGCGTCTACGAATCACTTCACTTTCACAATACTTCAGCCAGGGACAAAGTGTTCGACACTCGTTGTCGAACCTGTTTAGCATCGGTAGTTGGCAATGGCCTCTTCAAAGGTATGCCCGGAACCGGGATTCCAACCCATGCCCTGCCCTGCTTAGCTCGCTCCCGACACGCATCTCAACCCAGTCTTGCTGATCACTTCGTCCTCGTTCAGGAAATGCAGCAGACCACAAGGCCATTGAACCAACACCGTCCCTCTCTATCAACTGCTTCCTCTTCCGGGCTTACCACACGACAATCCCACTCTCGCACCAACTCCCATTCCATCCTCAGCGGCGCTCTCAATGCCAACCACCGTGTGACTCGCCGCAAGTCCATGACAAACACCGCCGCAAACGCGGCGGCCATGGCAGCGGCGATCAAGGAAGTGGGCGGCGACAAAGTCACGCCCATTGCCGTCAGCTCTCGTAGGAACACTGCCTCAAAGAGTGCTGCAGCCCGCGCCGCCATCATCGGGAGTCTTCCCTCGCCCCCAGCGAGTCTGCCGACGCACAAATTCCACTTGGATGGAAAGACTGAGATCCACGAGAGCGCCATTGAGGATGACCCAGTCATCGGGTCAGCCGACGAAGGCGATGATAATGCTCAAAAGGCTCGTATTCGTCGCGCCAGCGATGGTCAGCCTCTCGTAAAGGAGGGCAGGAAGTTCAACCGCATCGAGCTCAAGTGCGAGACGTGCGGAAAGGGATACAAGCACAGCAGTTGCCTGACCAAGCATTTGTTCGTTTCCCTTCCCCAATTCCCTCATTCCGTCCCAAATATTGTCGCGTGGGTTTCGAGACTTGCATGCCGCGTTTCCAACATCAGGACTAGTCGAGCAGTTTGTTGACTCATTTCTGATCAGGTGGGAACACACTCCCGAATGGTCTCTGACATCCAAGCTGCTTATTTCCAAGCATCAGCAAGTCCAGCTCCTTGAGGCTGCCTCTGTCTTGTTGACCATGAACCACAAGGAAGAGGGTGATGCGGCGACGCCCCCGGATTCCGCCAAGGATTTCCCTAGTGACCAAGAAGAGTCGACTTCTCCCGCTGCTTCTGGATATTCAGACGAGCGACACAGCTCTGCCGATACCACCCCACCTCCTCAATTGGAGGGATTTTCGTCGTCGGATCGTTCGTTCGCGAAGCGGTACGGGTCCGGAAGTGGATTCGGTCGTTCATACCAGTCTGCGCCGTCCATCAACCCTCTCGTGACAGGCAGCATGCCACGTGGAACAGGATTTTCTTCACACTTTCGTCAAACCAGCCAGGACCAACGACCGCCGTCGTCAGGAAGAAATGCCACCGGACAAGAAGATCAGGATCTGGCAGCGGCTGTGGAGCTTCTTAGTTGCAGCTTCAACAGCAACAACGGAAGAACAGTGCAACTTCCAGCGGACGCTCCTCCTGTGCCCCCGCTACCGGCGCAATATCTCGACCAGGCGGCATCTTTCTCGAGTGCTGGGTTCAGCGCAGGTTTCAGTGCCGGATTCCTCAACAGCTTCCCTAGCAGGCAGCCAGAGAGCTTCACACGAGGCGAAGTCCGCGGCTCCGATGTCAAGATGGAAGACAGCGACAGCGTGATGGACGATGATGACTTTGACCGCCGATCTCGATCTCGAAGCGACGAAGATGACGACGGCGTCTTCGGACGTATGGAGGAATAGCGAAACTCCGTTCCACGATTGATGCCGACGATATCTGAGGAGATGAGTACATAACGAAGAGGGAAACTGAGGGAAGGATGTGTTTCTTTTGTACCACCATATACTAAACCCTGTAAATGAGGTGGTTCTGTCTCCGCCGCCGATCTCTCAGCACCAAGGAGTGGAGGGCCCGGTCTTGCATCATGATCTGGCCCAGCAAGGCAGGTCGATAGGATGGGATCGAGATTGCAACTCCACGAGGTTAAAGTGAGAGACGGAGAGGGCGTCGAGCGAATGCCCAAAGCTGTCACGCTGATGGTTCTGACGAGACAAACGAGTGCGATGCCCCAAGATTGGCCGCGACGCTCAGTGCTCGGTATGGAACCAGCATAACGAAATGAAATGAAAAAGATAAAAAGTTCAAAAAAGAGCCTGGTTGATATTCGCCGGTGGTGACCTGTGTGACCTCTTGTCTGGATGAACAAGAGGACTACTGATCGCGACAAGGTACTTGGGCTTGGAGCGTGGCTAATGTTTACCAACGATGATGGCTGAAGTGACGAGGCAAGCTGGATGGTGGTTGGTGTGTTGGAACGCCAGCAGCAACCTTAACCAGGCACACCCGGAGCTTTGCTCCCGAAAGGCGAAGATTTGCATGTGAGCTCATCAAGCTTTGAAGATCACACAGACAAGACAGACACCAAGCAAAGCAGACGGGGAGGCAAAGATAAGGTAAGGCCAATTTTTGACAAGAGTATAGATAGCATCCTCCTTCCCAAACCTTGGAAAGCTTTGGGGGTGGAGGTTCGCATGTATTAAATATTTCTAGAGCGCAAGGGGATGATGGAGAAAGTTGATTCGAAAAGAGGAAATTGAAAACAAAAAGAGGGAAAGAAGGAAGAAAAAAACGATGGAGGAAAAAGTCTGCAATTACGGATCATGGACGGAGCCAGTAGAAAATATCTATCCTTGGGAGCCCGCTCACAGTGGAGTTTTCCAGCTTCGCTGGGCGGGCTGCTGAGGCACGGCGGCGGTTGTTTGGTGGCCGGCGGTGTGGGGAAGGAAGGTAGGTAGACCGCAGTAGGACTCGAGAGTCGAGAGAAGGAGGACCTGTTGGTGGCTCTTTCCGGTTGGGTTTTGCCCACTGTTGGACCACACAGCTTACCTCACCAGCTTCCGCGAGCTGCTGTTACCCCAGCGACGTCACCTTTACCCGTCCGGACAGCTTCTTTCTCCACTCGGCATCATAGGTAAGGTAGGCCACTGTCCACAATCCACAGCAGCTGCCCTGGGCGGAAAAAAACGTACAGGTCTCACATTTTCTTTCCTCTTTGCCCTCGTTGATCTCATCGTGTCGCAAACCGCACATCGCAAACGGCTGCTGCTGCTCATTTCTCCCACAGCCTCACTACCTTCTTTTTTCTCGCTTTACCCCTCTCCCACGTCTGCAGCACGCATCGCCAAATCCCGACTTCGAGGTTCTTACTACGAACATAACACGTTGTCTCACCAATCAATACTCACACGCGCAAGCACAGTATACCCAAGATGCCCACGTTAAGACGCAGAAGAGAGGCATCGCGCCCCGTCGAGGAGCCTGAGGTCGACGAAACGACGTCCAACGCGATCGAACCCATCGCAAGCCACCTCGAGCGGCTCGATACCGCGCCTGACGGCACGATCGAAGCTCTAGCTGTTGTCAACGACGCGACAGAGGTAGCGGAAGCAAAAGAGACAGAGGCACTCCAAATTAGCGAGAGGGATCGCGACCACCAGCACCCGCGGAAGCAGCGATCGCACCTCCCGAAAGCGCTGCAGTTCCCGCTTGTTACGGTGTTGAGCTTCAGCATCTCAAGTCTGTGCTACAGTTTCCTCAGCGAGTGGAGCCGTGGAGAACTGGCGGGGATCTCAAAGAGCTTGGACACCTGGGGCGAGGTTGCAACTTTGGCTGGATGGCGCATGTGAGTTACCTTGGGAATCACAGAGTTGATCTTTCTGGGAGGATCGCTCGAGGACCGGGCATGGAAAGGTATCTTTGCTGACAATCGCGACCTCGTGTAGATTTGAGCTCGCCCTAGGTTGGTTCGGCAACTTTGATAGCTACGATCTCGCTGCGCTCAACCTGCTCGCGCATGGTCCGCCGGTACGTTCTGCTCCGACGAGGAATGATGATGACGCCAGGCTTGGGACAGTCAACTGTGCAGCTTTTGCTAACACGCACTTTGCGTCTAGGTCTACCTTATCGCTACCTTCTACAACATCAGCACCGCCACAGCCATCTCGGCTCTGGGCATTGAGATGCTGTCTACCTTCCTGCCCTTCCAACTCCTGAGGCCTTTGTCGGGCGCGCATGCCGGCGCTAAGAACGTCGCCAACCGCGAGATTCTCACCGACATCCCGATCCAGATCTACACCACTATCCTGTCGGCAGCCATTTACAGCCTCACCCTGTTTACTGCTTACAAGACTTACCTGCCCACCACCCTCGTGGTCTACTTCCAGGGGCTGCCGAGCCTTGCGCCCGCCTACACCACCAACTTCCTGGCTACGTTGCCCGTGACAGTTGCGTTTGGCGTTGCAGCAAAGTCCTTCATCTTCACGCCCTTTGTCGCGACTGGCGAGACTTCCGAGGACGAGAAGCTGGCCGAGTTCGACCCTGCGACGGCCACGCTTGGCGAGACTCTGGCGTGGAACATTTGGGGCTACACAACGCGGGCGAAGGTTGTCATCCTGCGAACCGCGGTCGCCATGATCGTCACGGGTGTCAACACCTACCTGCAGACATTCATGACTGTCAACGGCGTCGAGTCGTATGGTGCGACTGCTTACTCCGGCGCCTGGGTCGCCGCGGCATTCTTCACCGGTATCGGTCTTGCATTCGTCGGTGGTGGAGACTCATGAGCGGGGATTGGGGGATGTATACCTTGCTTTGCCTCGTGACCAAGGCGAATTCTACCTTGGCGAGGCGGACAGCAGATGCTGACTGTCTAAGAAGAGGAGTTTTGGGGCTTTTCGAGGCCAAGGGTGGTCTCTTTCTTTTTTGTGTTGCTATTTGGGGAACTTTGCGCGGCTTTGGAAAGGAAGGGGAAGTTGCTTGCTTGGAGGCCCGATGATGCACATCAAAAGGTTGTTGCTGCAGCTGTCTTGCCCAGTGATCCATTCAAGCCGATGTATACAAATCTTTTCTTGCGTCGTCTCTTTTCTTTATCTATGTCTCGAGTAGTGTATACATCTTTTTGGTCTTCCTGTTCTTCGTGCGTCTTATCTGTCTGGCAGCTTCGTATTCGCCCGTGATACTGAAGTTACCCAGGCCGAGACCTTTGTCAAGACAACATATTTCAAGCCAATATCGCCGGGAGGTTGGAGACCGAAAATCTGTGACGTGATGATTTTCGCGATTGTTCACTTTTGCCTAAATATGGCATGCATACGTTCTACACTCGTGACCCTAGTACACCACACTTTGAACAAGGAAGAAACCCCCCCGCGTTCCTCTCCCCTCCCCCTTGCCAGAGAGTCAGCCTCGCCTGGACAATAGAGTCGAGGGACTAGTCCCAATCAATCGGCTTCGTGCAGGAAGCTAGCGGAATTTGTTTCGTTTCGTTGTCTTGGAATTTTTTGGGACGAATACAGGGGAGAAGGGGAGAGAAGGCTGTCTGATGTCTCTGGTGAGTGGTCAGGTTAGCCGACGTAGGGCTGAAAAGGTGGAGAGGTGGGTAGTGTAGGAATGACGGAGGAGGTTTCGGTCAAGGATAAAAAGCAGGATATTGGATTTTGGATTACCAATGCGGACTCGAGCTGGGGATGTTTGAGCTTGGATTTGGTGCCTTTGGGTAATGTGATTCTCCAGCCTGGTTGGGATTGCCTTTTTTATCGCCTGCGCGGCTAATTGATGGTTCTTCCCTGGGGCTGGGTAAGCCTGGCAAGCTGGGCAAGTGGGTGACGAGATAGAATACCGATCAACAAAAGATTACAATACTCACTACCTACGACTTATTTGTTATTCCTAGCTATCTTATTCTTCTTCCTTATTCTTTCTATCCATATTTCTGCTTATTCTTATCTCTTTTATACACTCGCTAGAGAAGACTCTCTAAAAAGTACAGAAATAAGATCAGCAGGAAAAGAGGTAGGGTATATAGAGCGGCAAACGATCATGTCACCCACTTGCTGGGCTACGGATCATTCGGGGGGAACATGAGTTCCAGGACATGGCAACATTGACAGTTGTAAAGAGCTGTCTTAAGTGAGGCGGACAAATAATATGCAAGCCTCGAGCAGAGTGCGGCGCAAGATGCAGGCGCAGGGGTTGTAGTTGCAGGTGCAGGTGCAGGCAGGGTGGATAATAGAGGAGGATTTCCAGGTTCCTGGATTGAGGTGTCACGGTGTCGGTGGTGGAACTTGACGTGAATATCCTCCTGCTCGGAGCTCGGGCTTAGAGACTTCATCCCATGACATCCATGACCACCTCTGTCCGAATTTTTTCCTGATTGAGATGATTTGCGCTGGGGCTATGGGCTAGTTGGGTTTGGCGAACCATACCGAGAGGATTATCGACCAGGGTTTATGTCGCCTCTTGTTCTCCTTGGGATACCTACCAAGATGGGATGGATCATGGGTACGGAGTACTCGTTCCCAAGGCAGTTTTCGGTCACTTTTTTGTTTTTGCTTTTTCTTTATCGGGGTGGAGGAGAGAGGGGGACGGGCGGGCAAACGGGTGACGGGCCTGCGGGATTCAACTGAGACAGTGAGACATTGACTGAAGTCTTGTTTTTTTCTTGCCTTTTTTTCTCGACCACCTTGCGTATTTGCTTGCATGCTCGCCCGCGGCACATTGTACCTGTCTGCACGTAATGTGGATTCTGTACGTGCCATTGAGACTGCTGCTGCCGCTGCCGCTGCACGCCGCGCCTAGGGTAAGGTAGATCAGGGCTTGCGGTCGGATTTGCTCTGTTGCCCGGACGCAGGGCGGCGGCAGGGCGGCAGGCAAAGGTCAGATCTTTGTCGTTGCGCGTAGGGGTCACTCCCATGTACCGTAGCATTGCGGCTGGAGCTGGAAGCTGGCAGCTGGCCAGCTGGGGGCAAACAGGCAATGAATCATCGACATTGTGTGTGCTGGGACAGCTGGGTAATGGACGGGGTTTAGGCTGCCGCGCCAGGACGTCGACGTCAAAAGAGATTTGGGAAATATTGCCCTACCTACCTGACTAATATGCCGTGCGAACTTGACGCGGCTGTTCGGGTCATGGGTGTGGGGGGTTGGGCTTTTGGGATTGGGGGGTGGTAACTCCGGGACTGGGGATTTACCGGGAAAACGACGATCAGTAGATCAGCTCTTGGGATTATATCACTTTTTGAGCAGGGGGTAGGTGGGAGGCACGGAAGATGGAGTTTGCCGACCTATTCTATGTAGGGCGAAAAGGAGGGGAGACTGGGTGTTCAGGCACACCGCGGGGGAATATCGTCGCAGACTCTCGTATCGTCCGCAATTTTCATCTTTGAGTGACGGTGGTGGACCGGGGGGCAGGAACTCATACTTGCAGTTTTCCTTCAGCTTGTTCCGGTCGGACTCTTGATTGGGAAAGTGATGTTTCGATTTTTGTTCATGGAGCGAGCGGCTGAGGCTGGTCTCGTTTCTTTGCTTGTCTCCGGTGGGCAATTCTGCCCAGCGTGCCGGGTGGACGAAGCATGGTGGTGGTTGATCCAGTTGGAGAGGTAAGGTAGGTATGGAGAAGTTCGGGGCAGCTTTTTCGCTGTTTTGTCGATATATGATCTTCAACGGACCGCCCTTTTTTCCCCGGGGGAGTGTATTTGGCATTTGGTATGTTACCGCCGAGCTTTTAGAGTTACTTTCACATATCCCCATCAGTGGAGACCATTCACAGTCATCTTTTCGGGCTTTTTAGAGTCCCCCTTTCACTGAGATATAAGACGGACCGATGGCTCCCAAGTCCAAGCAGTCGTCGAGGAAGGGCAAGGAAGCCGCCGCCGCTGCTACTACAGCCGCTCAATACGAATACTACGACGAGGTTTCTCCCGCTGGCACGACGGGTAGTTATTATGCCTCCTCGTCGACCACGGCCACGACCGGACCTAGTCCTCTGACGGAGTATGACGAGACGCCCGGTGCGGCGGCGGCAGCAGGGACGACTACGGCTGTCGTCCAGTCCAAGTCCATACGGAGCGAGGGTGAGATTGTGTTACAGGGCCCGCTCGAGGTCGCTGGTTCTGTGAAAGCTGGGGGGAACATCACGCTGAATGGGGACTTTGATGTGAGAGATAAGGTTGAGGCGTATGGCACGGTGGATATCAATGGGAACTTGGTTTGTGAGTAAGTACATTCATCCTTCCTGAGAAACGAGTATACACAGAGATGGGCCATTTGCTGATATGATTGTGTGAACAGTGGGAAGATGAAAGCATATGGTAATATTTCAGTGGTGGGGTACATGTCTATCGGGTAAGTTTTGTGTTTGGATATGCCGCAATACTCGAGAGAAGACGGCGCTGATACATGCAATGGCAGTGATAAGGTCAAAGGTTTTGGGAAGTTGAGGGTCATGGGGACGTGTGAGGTTAATGGCCTCGAGATATATGGGAACACGACGATACACGGGTTCTTGTAAGTTGATCCATTTCTCTCTGAGAGGCCTAGATTCTGACTTGGCGTTGTAGGAAATGCAAGAAAATGATCCTGTATGGGTCCCTCACAATCGTGGGTCCAAATTCGGGCTACCACGTTGAAGAAGAAGAGAAGATTTGGGGAGCGATTATAAGTCGTGAAGAAGATACGAGTTGGTGAGGCTGTGAGATTTTACTCAGTCACAGAGATGAGCGAGAATGAGATCACTGCGAGGTCTTAGATGCCTCGAAACGGTGGTTCAGACGCCAGGGTGTTATCTTGTCATGGGGCGTTTTATGAGACGGCGTTTGGTGTTGGCGTTGACACGGAATGGCGGCATTGGTGGGAATACAGCTTGAGAGGCATTTTTCTAATTATAGAAATGCAAATCTGGAATGGAATTTTGACGATTAAACTTTTCTGCTCGTGCTTCCGCGCCAATTAAGACACTGTGCTCTCTCTTGACCGTTGTGAAACCCTATTTTGACCTGTGGACCGTGGGGTAAAATCATGGCAAGACAATAATCTTCTCCTTGGTTTGTCTGGATCCCCTTGGCTCCTATTTCTATTCCTATTATTGATCTTTCTTTTCTTCTCTATTCATCACATGACTACTATACTTCAAAATGATTAGAAAGGATAGTATAAGAGACAGCAGTAATGGGGCAAGAGGCGATGGAAGATATTCGTATGTTAAAGCATTGGCCGGCATGCCACTTTGTCACCCACTTGCACGGTCACAATGAGGGGCAAAACATGAAATGTGAACGCATCGCAACATGCGCTTAGGTGGGCTGGCGACGCCAATGCCCTTGACGAGAAAATTGTCAGCCTCATTGAACTCGTTGGCAGTGGCACGGTGATGTTCACGAGTGGCCTTTGGGCTAATCCTGCTTCGTGTCGTAATTCGACATCACTAAATCTACAATCTAATCCTCCGCCTCATCACTCATTCGTCCCAGGCGTTCCGCCGACATCCCTTTTTGGGCTGCGATCACTTCTTCCAAAGTTACTTGCAGCGATTCCATGTCTAGCTTCTTCTTTGTCCTCCCCGCCCGCTTGTACGCGTTGCCTATGATGGTCTTGGCTAAAGTCTCAACGTCTCGGCCACTGGCCCATCCCCTCGTCAGGCCAAGCTTTTTGAAAAGACGATAGACCTTTTCCACGTTGTTTTTATTTGCTCCTCTTGCTCCCATAATGTTGATCTTGAGCTTCTGGACCTCTTGCCTTAGATGCCTAAGACATGCATGTGGGCTCATCGGCTGAAATACAATCTGTTCTGGGAATCTACTTCGCAATCCAGGATTGACCTGTAGGAGAAAGTCCATCTCGACGGTATACCCTGCCAAGATTACAACCACGTTGTTTCTGTAGCGCACTTGGGTCATTGCATCGACTAGCTCGCCGGCAGCCTCTACATAGAACTTAGAATCGTTGGCAAGTCGGTAGGCTTCGTCGATGAACAGGACCTTTCCGAGGCCAGTCTCGAGAGTGTTGAGGACTTTTAGTCCCGTTTCTCCCACGTGCTTTCCAATAAGATCACTGACTGAACAGGTCACAACCTCGTCCGTGGAAAGTAGGCCCATGTCATAGTATAATCGCCCAACTTTTCGTGCGGTTGAAGTCTTACCAGTGCCTGGTGGCCCCTTGAAAATGAAGGACCAGGGGACGTGAGGTCTGGGGTCGATGTCATAAAGCCGCATGCCAGCAACTAGGTGCTGATAGCCTTCAAATTGCTCGATAATCCTGGTGAAACCGACGAAGCCTTCAAAGAGCGTAGCGCGACTTTCGCCAGCTTGTGATTCCCGGTCCCAGTGCGGATCGATGTCGCCAGGCTCTATGACAACATCTACAGACCCTGATTCACGGGATGCGGACGTGATTCGTGCGTTGATGCGGACCTTTGCCTGGTTGAGTAGATTCTCAACGTCGCCCGCGTTTCCGAACTTCGGATTGATACGCATACGGCTTAAGACTTGTCTAGACACCGCCGCAGCGTCCTTTGACAATTCGAGACCACTTTTTTCGACGCTCAGATCCATGATCTGGCACAGCTCATCCTCGCTGTAGGTGTCGAATCGCAAGGCAGTTTCCTTGGGAAAGCGTCGGTGGAGCCCAGGGTTACTGTTATTGAACAGTTGGCCCATTTCATGGTCGTAACCAACCAGGATGATGCACCTGTCCTCTGGTTCGGCGGACACATTCGCGACGATAGTGTCAAGGACAGCGATGCGAAAGACGTCCGTCTTGTGGCCGGCATCCTGGGCTCCGGGATAGAGCATATGTGCATCATCAATGATCAGCACATTCCCTCGGGCTTCCTTCAAGACGCCCATGGTCTTCATCTCGGAATGCCCTATGTAGGCGCCGATCAAGTGGGATGGGTTTCGCAACATGATTTTCCTTCCAGAGACGAGACCGAGATCAATGAGGATCTGGCCGTAAAGCTGCGCAACCGTCGTTTTACCTACGCCAGGCGGTCCGAGAAACACTCGGTTAAGACCAATCTTGAGCGGTTCCATCCCTTGCAGCTCTCGGCGGTAGTTGAACTGGGCATAGTCGATGATGTCGCCGCATTCACTCTTGACCTTTTTGAGGCCAATCATGTCCTGGAGCTTCTTCCACGACTCGTTATCATTTCGCAGATCCTTCGGCTCTGTACCTAAAAGGTCCTCTGACTTGAGGACCTTTTTCTGGCCATTGGTTGAATCGGCAAACTTGCACTTATCGAGGTCGTCTCCATCTTCCAGTGCTCGTCGTGGAAAATTTGCTGGTTGAGAGCCTCCAATCGAATCATTACTGAGCCATCGAGCGTATTCTTTCTGCAGCCGGAGAGCTCGTCTCGTGCATGCCTTGTCCACTTCTTCCTCTAGGCGGTGAATGTTGGAAAACACTTTCGACTTTCGTTCTCGTGCTACTCGCTGCACCAAGGCACGAAGGCTGCGATCTTCGAATCCGCCCTCAACCGACATGCCCCTTTTCTGTATTATACGCACAGCGAGCTGCTTGAGCTCCTCAACACTGTAGTCTGCAAGACACAGGGGACTCTGTAGTTCTTCTAAAGCCTTCTCGTTGCCTTCGATAGAATCGAGAAGAGACTTGGTTCGCGTAGAGATGATTACAACAGACACCAATGCAGTCTCGGCGAGGTCTTCCATTGTATCTGAGCACTGTGTACGGTATGAACGGCGATTATCCCACGGGCTATATGAGCTACTGCCGTCACTGTCAGAGGAATCATAGTATCCACTGCCTGACGAAGCTTGACTGAAATTTGGTTTGTCGTAGAACACAAACTGGTAATTGTTAGAACTTAGCAGCGCCTGGTCGTGAGTTTCACTTACTGTAGGATGCAGGTGTGGTGCCGAGGATGACTTTCTATAACGAGGCATATATGGTCTTCGCTTGGCGGTCGGCTTCTTGGAAAAGACCTGGCTATTCACGGCTCCTATAGAGAGGAGAAATTGTGCGTAGAGTTTTGCTATGGTTTTCTTGCCTTTAGGAGGCAGTCAACAATGTGGTCACTTCTTTGGTAAAAGAGAACTTACCTGTTCCATCCTTGCCGTGAAGAACTAGGTGAAGTCGCAACTTTGACAGGCCAGGGTCAGTCCCCTTACTCTCCTTAACCCAGGCCTTAACGGCAAGAAAATGGGCTTTCACATTCTCCAGGCCAACTAACGACATTAGTTGGTCAAGATGAGGATTCTTCTCGTTGTCTTCTCTCTTCTGCCTCAGCCATTCCAGTCTGGATGGTGAGTTGTCGTCAATATCCTCTGGATTCACGTCGCTGACCGCAGACTCTGCCCATGAGGATGCATCGTCGACGCTTTGGGATTGGCTATCACTGCCAGAATAGCTATTGCTTCTGGAAGAACTGTCGCTCCTGGGGTAATTGTCGTATCCGCGAAATATGTCGAGTGCGGAGCCCTTGTGTTTACCGTCGTTGAATATTTTCTCAATATCATTGGGGAATTGCATAGACCTCCGTGCAGCGCGTGACTTTTTGATGGACTCGTCAGATTGCTCCTTAGGATCAGAAGCCTCCACTGGCTTTGGTTTGGTATCGGTCCTGCGGGGATCTGAGCGTTCTTTCCCAGCGGTGTCTCCAGCTTTGACTTCCTCCTGTTTCTGGGTGCCCGCACTCTTCACAACAATTTCGAGTAGAGTATGGCAATTGTGAGGCTTTGTTTCTTTGGTTTCGCCATCTTGCGTGGCTGGTTGCTCGTTGTTGCGGCTCTCATGACGAACGCTGACAACAGGGAGGACCGTGAGGTGCTGGTCTTGAATTTGGTTCTCAGGAGTTACTCCATTGCTGAGATGTTATTGTTCATATCAATAGTTGGGGTAGATGCATCGCCATTCGCCGGCTCGTTCCCGTTTAAGGGTCCCTCGTTGGACTCTTGATGCCCACTTTCCACCATCTCGTCGTCGACTTTCATGTTGGGCCTGGGAAGAAAGACCTGAAAAGAAGTAGCATAGCCTTTTCCAGCTGAGATATAGCTGGCACAAATTCTGAAGCCATAATTTATTCCAATTTAGATGCGGGTAGCCTCGAGCAATACATCGGGTTCCAGTTTGCCTGATTTTGAGAAAGCAGGCTGCCACTGGCACTGCCGCAGGCAGACTGCCCTAAAGGCTCGACTATACGCCTCACTTGCTGCAACGAGGCAGCCGTGACACCCTGCCCCTTCTCACATAAGCATGGAGATAAGCACCACCAAGTTGTTGTTGAACAATTGATACAACACTGCCTGCCCAAGATAACAGTGATCTGAGGCCTCCTCTGACTTTCAGCGGCGTAAGCCGATGGTGATGCACAGAAAATCGTTCAGGACGGTGCTGGGTTTTAGAGCTTATGGCAAAGATAGAGCCGGCCTAGATGGCCAGCGTCTCGTATTCACCGCAGCATGAAATTGAGACTGGAATCCGGAAGCCAACTGCTGCCAGAGAGAATTATGGAATTGCGTTTCAACTTCATTTGAGTAACTACCTGAGCATATCAGTAATTTGAGCACTCTTCCCTGAAGAAGCGGGATTTCAGATTCGAAGAAATGGCGCTGGCTTTGATCGCCATACCAACTCTCAAGATGAACCGCTGACAACTGCTTGAGATTTGGATGCGGGGCATATTTTGTCAACTCTGATCCTGTCATGTCCAACTCAAAGCATTTGCCTAATCCATGGGAAAGTAAGACTATCTCAGCTGGCATCGAATTCAACCGCCTTCACACAAACTTGGCTTCCATCTGTGGGTAGATTCCCTGTACCCTTTTCCATTTCAACTCTCTAGATCTCGAAAATGCGTGTTTGGTTTGAGACTGCGCGCCATCTACAGTTGCACCGACACCGGGCTGCAATGTCGATTTGCTCACATATCAGATGCTCTTTTCCGGGATCTGGGGTATGGGCAATGACTCTCAAATCAGTTCCCCTGCGAAAGTCGAGGCATACCAAAGCGTGCCCTTTAGCCGTGACGACCTTCAACATCGTCAAGCCGCTGATCAAGAGCGTCGACGAGCTGATAGGCTTATCGATCGAAAACCCTTCGGTAGATCTTCTGAGGAAAGCTGAGTTGTAAGGGCCCCGAATATTCAGTACACTTCCCCGCCGTTCATCATGCAATAGTTTAGCGATGATGAGCTGCCCATCTATCCTAGTCACCGACTGTAGTTCAGAAACTGAGCAGCAGCGAACCCGCCTCCGGAGAAAGTCGTTCCATGTCCATTCCTTTACCTTCATACTCTTTCCGACCAAGACGATGAAAGCAGCAACGACCCAAAGGTAGGTGGCCAGGTTCGAGGGATCAACACCATTGATACGCTCGCCGACACTGAAGCCGATGCCCAAGCCACCTGCTGCAAACAATACGGCTGTAAAAATCACGCCCCAGACGTATCCTGGGCATGACACCGTTACGCATGTTTCATCGACGACCCACTCATCCATATACTCTGTCAGTCTCTTAAGCTCGTTGAGTTGATGCGTTGCCTCATGCTGTTCTCTTGGTGGAGGGTGTGAGCTCCGTACTAACCCAGACCGCGAGAAAAAGCCATGTTCCAGAGCTTGGGAAAGATGAAGAACGTCAGGCCTCTTCACACGGGCGAATTCACTGGTGTACATGCGGAAGAAGGCCCCAAACTTGCCTTCCGCGAGCGGCTGGACGTCATCTTGGATGAAGCCCGTCAGAGCCATGACGTGTCGGAAGCTGGTAAAGTCTGACAAGAAGACCGGGCAAGTCATGACCAGAGATACCATTATAGTTATGACTTCGTCTATGGAGTTGAGTTACAAACAGTGACTGGAGCCTACAAGTTTGCTAGCGCACATACTCATTCAAAATAATTAAACAAATAAGTTAAATAAATAATCAAATATAGGAACTTCAGCAAGTTAAATAATTAAATATTATAAGGCCCTATATTTAACGTATTTAATTAAGAGAATTAATAAGGACGTATAAAGAATTAATATAAATGCATAGCTCTTAGAGACGTATAATATTCTCTATTTTTAAGTAGTTTGAAAAAAAGTTTATTTTTTTTAAAGTAATAAAGGCTTAGGTATTAATATATCGCTTTTTATTACTTAAGCTTTTTTTTAAAGCTTTTTAATATTGAGAGTATATTATAAATAGCTTAATAAGTCTTAATATATATTAATACTAATTTTGTTCTAAAATAAGAACTAAATATAAGTTTAATTATTTTTTTTAATTAATATAATTATAAGCACTACTATTTATTTTTATTATTATAAAGTATTTATTATTATTATTATTATTATTATTTTTAAATACTAGGTTATAATAATTAATTATTAATTAAACTTTTTATAGTTTTCTTTTATTAAGAGTACTAAACTAGCTTCTTATTTATAAAAAAAAACGAGTTTAAAACCTAGCTTTAATTTAATTAGCTTATTTTTTATATAAGCTTTATTATTATTAATTTATTCTAGCTTTTTATTAAGTAATCTCGCTTATAAATAATTAAGTTTTAAATAATATGAACTTTATAAACTTAATTAATTAGCTAGTTTTTTTAAGGAATAATTTATTATAATAAAGGGAATTAATATATTAGTATTACGGCTAGCTAGTCGTAGTAAGTATATTAATAAAAATTAAGGCTACGAGTACTAAGTAAATAATATTATAGTTATAAATAGCTTCCCTAAAGCTATATTTATAAATTATAAAGTAAATAAAGCTTCGGTAATTAATTATAATCTTATTAAAAAGAGTTCTTAATAAAAATAGCTAAAAATAATTATAAGATCTAATACTAAGTTAATTACTAAAAAAGCTATAAGAAGTTTATTTTTAAGCCTAGCTCAAGTTTATATTATATATAAATCTCGTTCTTAAATATATTTTTTATTTATATATTATTTTAATAGGCCCCGTATTCTAAATATATAAGCTCTATATTTTAAAAAGACGGGGTCCGTATCCTTAGTATATAGACCTTCTTATTTCTTATTATTACGTAACTTATCTTATTATTCTTTTATTTTATAAAAGTTACTTTATATTCCGTACTCTTATATATATAATATATTATAGCCGCTATAAGCCTACGGGGCAGGCCCTAGTCTTAGTTATATATATTAAGTCGTAATATTAAGTCTCTTTTTTAAAGGTCTAGTCTTATAGACTTATAAATAAATTATTTATTTTTAAATTAAGGATTCGTTAAGTATATTTTTTTTAAATATACTAATATAATATTAGGTCGTATTAAAAAACGTTTATTAAGTAATTCTATTTCTAAGCTTTGTTTAGTTTATAACGACGTATTTAATCGCTTTAATTTTAATAATATAATACTTTATATTTAATATTTTTGTATAAAATATGCGTATTATATAGTTAAGGGGGCGAAGACTTATTAAAATTATAAGAGTCTAAAGCGTCTTTATAATAGTTTTATTGTTATATCGAGCTATAAGTATTATTATAGTTTTTTTTATTTTATAATTATTAATATTTTCGTAATAAAAAGGCTAAGTAATTAGTATTAAGAATTAAAAAAAAAAAAAAAGGCTAGTAATATTTTACTTAATTTTTATATAAAACTTATTTAAATCTAGTCCGAGATCGTAGAAATAGTTAGTTATTTAGCTTAGATTCGGACTATTTAGAAAAAGGTAAAAGAATAGTATATTAAGACTTTTATTTAAAATATATAAGAATTAGAAAAAGAAGATTATATTTTTTTTATATTAAATACTTATAAACGGTAAGTAATAAGCGATCTTTAAATAATAAGTATTTTTAATAATATTAATTAGACTTTTTTTAAAATTAGTAATAAGTTTACCTCCCTAGGGCCGTTAGTATTAAACGCTAACGTTCCTAAGTATTATAATAGTCCTATAAAAGTTCTTAAGAATATTAGAAATTCGTAATAAGTTCTTATATATTTTCTTTATATTTATAGCCCTTCTATTTAATAAAATATTCTTTTTTATTATCTTTTATTCTATAATTAATAATTCTTTTAACTTCGTATTTTAATTAGTTTAATTTAATAATAATATAATTTTCTATATATAAACCTTTTAATACGGGCTCGAGTAATAAAATATAAAAAACGGGATAGTATCGTATCGTATTTAGTAATTTTAACTTATAATTAATTAATAAGACTTTTTTAATAATTTCAAAAAGTCTAAGCTTTTTATAATCTAATTTATTATTTAGTTATTTCGTTTTAATATTATAATAAAAGAAATAAGCGCTACCCCCCTTTTTTAAAAATAGTCCTCTAATTTTTAATTTATTTATATTCTTTTTTATACGCTATTATATAAACTTAAAATTTATTAATACTTATTTATAAATCTCTTTAAGTTTTTTTATATTTATTATAGCTTTTATAACTTATAATCCTTATCGTATTTCTCTATATATTATTAGCTAAAATCCGTAATTAAAATAAAACGGGGATTCTCTCGTACTTTTATTAACTATATTATTATATACGAACTAGGTTATTAATAGAAATACTACTTAATTATCCTAGTCGTAGTTTATATAATAACGAAAGTATATTTCGAAGATCTAATTAATCCTTTCTATTTATTTATTAATTTATAAGTAAAATAATATTAATAATTTATAGTTTATACTAAGTTACGAAATTAGGGATTTTTAAAACTTTAAAATAAATAGCTTATCTCTATTTAAAATAATTTTTTTTAATAAACCGTAGTTTAAAAGTATAACCTTAGTAAATACGTATACTAGGTCTTTTATAATACTTAAATTTTTATAAAAAACGAAGTACGTAAACTTAGTAAGTCGGTCGATTATAACTAAAATATTATTATATTATATTTTAATAAATAGTTCTCTAAACTTTAATAGCTTAATAATAAAATCCTATATAATTAAATACTATATTTTTATTAGTAATTATAGTAGTTATAGCTTACTATAGGGTTTATATAGGCTATTTTTATTTTTTTTATAAGTTACGTAGTCCTTAATTATTTCTATAATTTTAGTACGTATAGCGGATTTATTATAATATTAATAAATCCGTTTTTACGTTTTAATAACTCCTTAATAACTATATATTAGTATATTATAAATTTTTATAATAAGTTTAGAAGTTATTTTTCTAATTAGGCTAGTATTAATCTTTTTAGCTATTATAAAAAGTTTCGTAATTAGTATAAGGCTACCGTCCTTTTCTTACTTAAGAATAACTTATATTTTTTTAAGAATTATAACTTTATAATTAGGTCTTTTACTAAGAGCGTCTACCTTACTATTTTCTAAACTTTTTTAATAAATAATTTAGAAATTAAATTTAAATAGGAACTCGCTCTATTTAACTTATTATTTATTTAAGTTCTTATTTATTATAAAGTTTATAAAGTTCTTATAGTTTATATAGACTATAACTTCGTACTTAGTTCTAAATAACTATAATCTCTATTTTTAAAATACTTTAATAATTATTATTAGTTCTTTATTATAGATTTATTAATTTAATTCTATTTTATAAAATACTTTAAAATAAAAGTAATATAAATAAAGCTTTTTTTATTTATTTTATTATTTTAGAACTACTTTTATAACGAAGTTCGAGGCGTCGGTTTCGATTTTAAAGGGTTTTTAAAGGTCTAGGATTATAATAACCGGTTTAAAAACGACTATATTTTTAATTTTAACGAATACTTCTTTATACTTAGGGTCCTAAATAAATAGGTTATTTTTTTATATTAAATTATTAAGAGGTCTAATTATATTAATATAGTCCTTAAGGAATCGTTAATAAAAATTAACGAATTTTAAAAATCCTTATATATCCTTAACGTTTTATAGTATAAGCTAGTCCTTAACTATTTTTATTTTTAATATTTATATATAGATTTATCTTAGCGTAATAGTATATCCTAAGAAATTTATTTTTTATATATAGAACTTATATTTAGAGAGTTTAGTATATAGCTTAGCGTTTTAAAGCTTTTAAAATACTATATAAATATACTTCTTATATATTTCGAAATCGGGGGAGAAAATAAGGATATTATTAATATAAATAATAATAAAAATATTAACGTATTCTTAGAGTACGTAATTAATTATTATTTAAAAAGTTACCGGAATATTAATAAGTTTAAAGGGTATAATAAGGTATTTAAAGAGTCCTCTACGAGTTCGGAATACTATCTTTTATTTATCTCTTTTTTTAATTTAAATCTAATTAAATATTTTTTTAAAATTTATAGTAATAAACTAATTAGTTCTATAAAATAAATTTCTAAGCTTAGTAATAAGTAATAAAAAATAGTAATTCTTTTTTATAATTTCGTTAAGTTTTTTATAGTTAATAATAAGTCTTCGTTTTTTTACTCCTTTTTTAATATAAAAAATAAGGGTAATTTTATAAAAGAATTTAATAGTTAAATAAGTCCCTTTTAAAGTTTTTTATTAATATATTTATCGAAATATTCCTACTCTTCTTAGTTTATTAAGTATATTAAAAAAAATCTAAGTTACGTTCCTTTTTTAAGTTCGATTTTTATATCCTAACTATTATATTTTAATAATCCTATTTCTTTAAGTTCTATAAATAATTTCGTATATATTTAATACTCCTTAAGTATAATTTAAAGTCGTTACGATCCTTAATCGTTAGTACTATATATAAACTTTTTAAACTTTTTTATTATTTTAATAAAAGCTATATATCGTATTTATTCTCGTTCTTTAAGAGTTACTAAAAATCCGTTTAAATCCTTTTTTTTTTAAGTCGTTTAGTAACTAGATTTTTTTAAAGGACTTAGTTAGTAATCTAATCTATTTATAGGTTATACTTTTATAACTACGAGATTCTTAGGATAACGTCGATATTTCCGATCTCCGTAATATTATATTATAGTTATTCTTATTAATTATTAATATATATTAAGAGGTATACGGTCTCTTAATTAATATATCCGTAATTATAGTTAACTCGTTCTCTTTTTATTATTTATAATTAATATAAGTTATCTTTTTATATTTATAATAAGTTAAGTTTATTTACTATTTTTAGTAAAATATAGGTTTTTTATACATTATTATTGATAATAGTATTTAATCTTCGTCTATAAATATCAAGGTTAATTCATAAGTATACGTCGTTACGTTATTTAGTTATATATAAGAACTTTTTTTTTATTTTTGCTTTTTATTATTCTTTTATAATTAGCTTTTTTAGTTTTTTATTATTTACTTTTTTAAGTAGTTCTTTTATTTATATCTTTTTTAGTATTCCCTCTATATTTTAGCTTTCTTAATATAATAGATTTAATATTAGTTATATTTATAATTTTCTTATTTTATATATTCGCTATTAAAGTATTTTATAAAAAAGCTAGGATCTAGGCTAAATATTATTTTATTATTATTATTAAAGCTTAGTAAGATTTAATTAAGTAGCTAATCTTTTATATAGATATCCTTAATAAGTTTATTATTACGTTTTTATAAATAGAAACGGCTATTTTATTTATATACGAGGTACTAAAAGTATTTATTATTTAGGTATTCTATTTAAAATAATTTTTTATAAAAAGGATTTTTAGGGTTAAATAGAGAGTAGTCCTTATTTATATAGGAGGTTATTACGACTTTTTTATATTTTTTAGTTTTATAAAACTAAATAATTTAGTTATTTTTAAATAAATAAATATATTTATACCGTAGTTCGTCGTCGTTCTTTTTTAAATTAGTATTATTAATATTAAGTAGTATTTTATAATTAATCTCTATCTAAGTACGTTATTAAGCGACGTTACGAGGTTCGTCCGAATTATAGGGTAATTTTATTTTATTAAAATAAAAAGAGCTAGTTTTTATTTTAATATCTTTTTTTTTTTTAAAGTTAAAGTTAATTTTTTTTTTTTTATAATTCTAAAGTTAAGAATTAGTTTTTTAAGTACTTCGATCTTATTTTTATATACGAGGTCCTTAAGCTATTCTTTAACTTTATAAATAAATTTCTTATTAATATCTACTTATTTTATTATATAAATAGACTTAGTTAGAATTTTACTTAAATTAGCCTTTAGTTTAATAAGTAGTTTTTAGTTTATATAGTTTTATTATATTATATAAACGAGGCTATTTATAATTTCTTTAGTATCGGGTCCTTTTTTTTTAAATTTAAAGAGTTGCTCCTTTATATTAACTAGGAGTCTTTACTTAATTCGTCTTTTAAAAAAATAAAGTATATTTTTTATAATAGGGTCTATTTTAGCCTTTTTTTTTATATTTTTATAAATTTAAGAGAGCGTAATAATATATTTAATATTATTTTCTTTAAGAGTATAAGGTTAGTAGGCAGGTATTTTTATTTTTTTTATTATTATTATTAAGGTCTTAATAAATAGTATAGTATCGTATCTAAATCGTCCCTTATCTTTAAGTTACTTTAAGTACTATCCTATTTATTTCTTACTATCTTAATAAATAAAATAATTATCGTCGTAATAAGCTATTTATAAAAGTTATTTATAGGGGACTTTTTTATTTATAATATTAGCTCGCTTTTTTAAAATAGGTTAGTATTAAATACGCTTAATTTATTAATAATCTCTAGCTATATATCCTAATTTATTATAATTATAGTACTTAAAGTCCTTTTTCTAGCGAGGTTATTCTTTTTTAATAATACTAAGGTCCATTAGTTTATTATAATACCCTATTATAGTAATTATTAGTCTATATTTACGTTTATTATTAAATTTAGCTTAGTTATTCTAAGTATTCTATCCTTTTTATTTAAAGCGTCGTTCGTAAAGTCGATTATCGATCTTAACTATTATATTAATATAATTATAAAGCTTATTTAGTCGTTCTTATTAAGAGAGGTTATCCTTAACTTCTTTTTTTAAGCCGTAATAAAAAGTTATTATAAATATATTATTATCCTAATTAAGTTTAGAAATAATCTACTTAAACTTAGATACGTACTTACTAATTAACCTTTTTTATATAAAAATTATAAACTTTTATTTAGTAATTTATTCTTTATTAAGGTTACTAAAGGTCTTTTTAAGTCTTTTTTTAAACTTATTATAGTTATTAAAGATTTTTTTAGTATCTTTATTTTAAAAATTACGTTCGTTTTTAAAATAGTCTTTTATAAAGAGCTCGAACTAAGTAAGGGTATCCTTTTTAAAAAATAAAACTATATAATAAACCTTATCGGCTTTAGTAATAAAAGAGGTCTTATAATAACGTAAATAGGCCCTAGTTTAAGTAAAAAATCTTTAAAAAATATCCGGGGACCTATTATAAAGTTCTAGTTTAGGGTACTTAGTTCTAAGTACTAAGAGAGGTCGGGGCGCTATAAGTTAAATATAGAGTTACTCGTTCTTATTTTTAAGTTTAAGTATTATATTATATAATTACTAAATAATAAGTATAGTTATTTTAATAAGCTGCGCCGTATTATTATTATTAATAGTTAATATATTTATATTATTTAATTAGTTTTTTATAAAATAAACTTATTAAATAAGAGTAATTAAAATATTATAGCTAGCTAGTTATAATAAATATATTAATAAAAGTTAAGGCTACGAATACTAAGTAAATAGTATTATAGTTATAAATAGCTTTTCTAAAACTATATCTATAAGTCGTAAAGTAAATAAAGCTTTAGTAATTAATCGTAATTTTATTAAGAGGAGTTCTTAATAAAGATAGCTAAAAGTAATTATAAGATCTAATATTAAATTAATTATTAAAAAAGCTATAAGAAGTCTATCCTTAAGCCCGGTTTAAGTTTATATTATATA